AGTCATGTTACAATAAACAGGGAATGGATCCTCGCCAAGAACACCGTCAGGATCAATAACGTAGTCACCACTGACGTCACTAAAGTTTGCCTTCACTCTGGCGCAGCTTTCTGGGTACTTGACAGAGACGGTGACACTTGTTTGAATGGATTTGCGCGCAGTAGTCGCATTACAAGTGTAAGTGCCACCATGGCTGAAGTTAGCAAATGAAACAATCAAGTTATTGGAGGCATCAATACTCGCACCAAGAGGTAATGACATAACCCCATCATAGATCCAAGACACCGTTGGCGTCAGATCGCTCGAAACAGAACATGGCAGAAGAAGAGCTTCATGTGCCCTCACTGTCACATTCGACGGGGGTTTGATAATGAACTTGAGAGCTGAATAAACGTTAAGATGAGCTGAGGACGTGTTTGTACCCCAGATGTTTGCTACAGTACACGCATATGAGCCACTGTCTTGTTTAGTGACGTTTTTTAAGGTCAAATTTCCTTCTTGGACGATACTTCTTTGGGAAGGAAGAGCTCCTTGAGACCTGCTCCATGCAACTAGGTGCGGAGGGGGAATACTGAAAATTGCACATTTCATGGAGATGTCTTTTCCTTTCTCAGTCTCAATAAAATCAGGAAACACTTGTACAGAGGGAGGTGCTATAATTTACAAAAGAAAAGAGACATGTTTACTAAAAAAGAGAGAAAACGGAGGAAGAACAAGTGAAACGATATTACGGACATCATTCGGTTGCCTTAAGCTGGCTCTTAGGCCCCTTCACAAAAGTCCAGGAGCAAGAGCTAGAGTCTTCCTCGTTTCACCCAAAGAGAAGACCAGGAGCAAATGGTAAGTCTCGGATATAATATATGTAACATAAATGATTTTTATGGACACAGGCGAATCTATTGATGTAATATACCTTCGGTGCAGTTTCGTCCAAAGAGTCCATTTCTGCAAACACAGCGATAACCTTTGCTGGTGAATCCTGTTTGACATCGACGGATAGCAGGACAGGGATTATTAGAACAAGGGTTCTGTGAGGCAGAGAAATATTTCAATTGTATAAGTGTATAATTCAACAAAAAATATGTTTATTTGTTGTTTATGTTAAGTAACATGGCATCTAGCGGTATTCGGTGGTATTTTGAGACAGCGCATAACATACGCAGGTATGACACTTCAAAGCATGATATCTCATAACATGGAATGGGTTACCTGACATGACGTTACATGAATTAACATCGTGTGAGGTCATTCTAAGTGCACAGCCCCTGATTCTATGACATCATTTGCAAGAAAGCTGTGATAGGATGGGTGCGAGATACATACCCTAAACGCTGTGGGGGTGCAAGATATCCAAATGCTGTGATGTGATTTGTGCGAGATACATACCCTAATGCGGAAATCTGTTTGGTGCGAGATACATACCCATATGCAGCAATCTTATTGGTGCGAGATAAATACCCAAATGCGGCGATCTGATTGGTGCGAGCAACATACCACTCTACAGGCTAACATAGAGTTATTATTATTTTCTTTCTAAATAACTCAAAAGTGACATGACGTAATATGACGTGATATGACACCTTGTCACACAACACGTCACCAAATGTCACGACGTGACATGAATGACCTGAAATGAATGGTAGGACTTGGTTTTAAGATGACTCGACGGAACATTTCAAGGTAGCGTGTACTTTACTATGCAATATATTTGTAGAACACGTAATGCTGGAACCCCCAGGGCAAGAGAAAGAGGGGTCGTCCCAGGAACTCCTGGAGAAGAGGTGTAGAGTCCCAAATGAGAAACTGGGGCCACACTTGGGCCACTTTAGGAAGTTTTGCCCAGGACAGAACCCGATGGAGGACGGAAGTGGTTAATGGCCTATGCTCCAACCGGAGCTAAGGGAATATATATAATGCTGGCGAATGAACTATTTATAATGACAGAGTAAAAAATACCATCGTACCCGGAATGATTTGTAAACAGCTCCCTCTTCGAATTTGACATCCAAGGGATGAATTTTGTCTGTAGAATCGCTCAGTTCACACAAATACCTTCCGTCGAGATCCTGTGGCTGTCTCAAGTTGTACGAGACGCAGTCAGCATCCATAAAACAGTTCACTTCACAGGCGCTGGGCAATTCTATTTCTAGCCTTCTGAACACGTGACTCTCTAAGAAGAAGTTGTGGACCGAAGGATTCATTTTCACCAGCCGACAATCCTCTGGGAATGAAATAAAAGGGTTGCGTGCGCAGAGTCTAACTAATGAGTCACGTAAAGTAGAACAAAAAAAGAAAGATGCCATGGTGTTCCAATTTACACCTAAGCTCTGGTCCGCCAAAGATCTCTCTTTGCTCTGATTTAACGAAACCTTCGAGTATTTCTCAAAGACATGGGAAATTAATATTTCAACAAATTCCAAAAACTCATTTCGCGGGAGGACGAGCTTTATATCTACGGCAACAAAAATTTTAGGGTTTCAGTGCAGTTTTTATGACTGATTGTTGGTTGAGAAAGAATTCTTAAAACGGATTATGTTTAAGTAAACTCGTGTCACCTAAAATGAACGCAGAAATACAATGCGAAGAAATTAAACGGCTATGATGTAAGGTTGACATGAAAAAAGCAACAACAACGAAAAAAGCCAAACTTGAATTAGTTAACAATTAGCATAAGCATACAGCGTCCACACATAATCATTTGTTTAATATTGTATTTTTAAAATTGCTTGAAATTTCTAGCAAGCATCTGAAGTCTCGAAAAGTTTTTCAGTGGAAACACTGTGGAAAATTTTCATCTGCTCAGAATGTCTCCAGAGATCAGTTTTATATGCTGATAAACTTCTATTTAGCTTTTTCCCTTCATTCGTTTGCCTTTTTCTATGACAACATTTTGGCAAATAGGTGTAAATTATTCTAGAATTAACCACTTTGTAAAATTCTTCAATCGGATTTGCGTGCATGTTCTCAAGGCTGTAAGTGACGTCTTTTGACTATATCGTACTAGCATTTAATGGTGATTTTCTAAAATGACACACTGTTTCAAAACTTTGAAAATGAAGATCAAACACCAAGTTATAAGTTAATGATAAACGACATGTACAGTTAGGTGCATTAATGTTTCCACATGGCATAAAACTCCAACGCTCACCTTTGTTCGACGCTAAGCAACTTTTCCCCAAAGTTGCAAGTAGAAACAGAACTTGAAACGTTTCCATAATCTTGCAAAGTTTTTTTTTACGTACTCTTGCACAGAAAGTGCAAAAAAAAAACAATCGTTTCTTTAGTGACTCGTGCTTGAGTACTTTGTCGGCCGTTACAGCAGTAAATAATCAAGCTTACCACCTGCTACCAATATATATGTGTAACTTTTGGAAGTGTGTCAAGTTTCAAAAGCATGGTCAATATTTTGAAATTGTTGTTTGTCAATAAGACCCGCTTCTTTAAAGCTTTTAGCTTAAATTATTGACGTTTTATCAAGCAAAGCTTAGTACTCAGTTGGTGAGCAGGTGTCCTACCGACTCAAAATTTCGTTCGTATGATATTGACTATGATATTGAAACTAATGTTTCTGTTTGTATTAGTAATGTAAAGATCCTCATTTTTAAGACGAAAAGTAAACCTTCACTTTTTTAACATCAAAACATAAACTCCGCTTGGTTAACTGTTCGCGTAATGTTTGATTTCCAAGGAAAATAATTAAAAAAAGACAAATTACGCACAGTTTGAAAACAAGTTGTTTATGCGACCTGAAATGAGAGTAGTAGAAACAAGAAAACAGAAAATTAACTTACTACAAAGATAAACAAATATACCAATATACCAGTATGAAAACAATAAGTCCATTGTGAGTTTGAAAACCCTCGCTTTCATCACGATGACCTTTCTCATGTGATGAGTCATATTTGGAAAAAAACGCAAAATTTATGTTAATATTAAAGGCTTTGCACCAGTCTCAGTTTCACAGAGGAAGAATTGTGCAACTCGGAAAATGTCTATTTACACCAAATTGCATGAAATTTTTTCAAGAAAGGATTGAGTTTCATGCGTTTCGGAAGAAATTAACGTTGAAAAAAGCATAGCTCGAGATGTTGATCCTTGGAAAACAAAGAAACAAACTCATCTAGTTGTTGAGGGGGTCTCGAGTCTTCTTCTTCTCTTGATTTCGAGTCTGACATTACGCTGAGCGCCGACAAGTGTTTATAAAAGATCTGATGTCAAACTACATACAATCTTTTTCCAGAACTATCTAAGTAAGCACACTAAGTTAATAATTCAAGGGGTTCTCCGTTCGAGAAAAAAAAATATCTCCAATAATTGAAAGAATTAGGTAATGTCATTTTGAGGCATTTCTTTTTTTCTTGGCAATCTGCGGCTTGAGGTCTACTCTAACAAGAATTTAAGTTTCTTGACCAATGAGAAGTTTGTGCGTGTTTTGAATATGGCTCATAGCTCGTTAAATTTAAAAATTAAATTGTGGAATACAACGAAGAAAAAAAATGTTTTTGTTAAGTATGTAAATAGACGAGTGGTATTTCTTTCTCCATGACAACCTCTTCCAAACAAAACTTGAAAATTTTGTTGTAATTGCCTTCTCACACATGCCTTGTGGATATGGCTCCAAGAAAATCAAAGACAGAAATTAAACCACCATTCCTGGTTAAGGGACAAGTTAAATTATTGCAAAAGTTCACAAAAATGTTTCTTGTTTTCCATTCCTTAAGGTGTCAAACTTGCGGCGAGTCAACTTCATCCAAATCTTTCGCCCACGTATGTAAAGATCAAAACCGGTTTCACAGTTAAAGAAAATTTCATTTAATGAAATAACTTCAAGTTCATCAGTAGCATTCCAGTTTTCCTAGGGTGTGATATCCTTCCTCATTAGCACCACCAGTGTCACCGAATCTCAGCTGAATGACAGGAAGGTCAGATTTGATTGTCAAAAAGCCACTGTCCTCCCGCCAAACAAAATCATTTTTATCACAATTACAGGGCTTGTCTGTTCGGGCGCAGGAGTCAGTCACTCCGCATGCGCATCCCTGAGAAGCTCCGCCCCAATACCTCATGGTCTGACCATTACGTGAAACCCACCAACTCATATAGCCCAGCCTTAATGTAGCACCATAGCATTCATATTTGATAAATTGATGGCAGTTTCCTGACACGTTTATCAGTCTTTTGATCTGTGAGAGGTTGCTGTAGCGGTAGTGAATGTCACGGCTGTAGCTCCCACGCGCGTTGTATCCTGTGACATGGATTCTTTCCTCACTGTCGTGACTGATAACTGTCACTCCAACGCCTCCTTGGTCACTCATGTTACAATAAACAAGAAATGGATCCTCGCCAAGAACACCGTCAGGATCAATGATATAATAGCCACTTACTTCACTGATGTCTGTCTTCACTCTGGCGCAGGTGTCGGGATACTTGACATAAACGGTGACTCTTGCTCGAATGACTCTGACTGCATTATACGCAGTGCAAGTGTAAACACCAACATGATTGAAATTCGCAGATGTAAGAGTTAAATTATTTGACGAATCAACACTTGCACCACTAGGCAAGGACCAGGTCTTGCCATAGGTCCAAAACATTCTTGGAGTTAGAAAGCTTGAAGCAGAACACGGCAGTATAAGAACCTCATAAGCCTTCACTATCACTAACGGAGGAGGTTTGATGGTGAACTTGAGGGGAGCGTGGACTCTCAGCTGAACTGAGGATGAGTCTGTGCCCCAGGTATTTGTTGCAGTACACACATACGACCCACTGTCTTGTTTAGTGACGTATCTCAGGAATAAATACTCTTTAAATAGAAAATGGGAAGGAAGACTTCCTTGAGAGCGGCTCCATGTGACCAAGTGTGGGGGAGGAAAACTGACAATTTTACATCTCGCGTAAGTGGTTTTTCCTTCTTCAGTATCGATAACATCGGGAAACACTTGCACGTATGGAGGTGCTACAGTTTCCAAAAGACAAGAAAAAACACGTTTATTTTGAAAAAAAAAGAAAAAATAGAGAAGGGAGGAGAAAAAATCGGAAACGACTTATGGATGTCATTCGGTTGCCAAGCGTGGCCTTAGGTTCTTTTAGGTGCAAGAGTCTTCCTCTTTTCGCTCGAGAAAAAGACAAAAATGGAATCGTATGGTAATTGAATTGAACTTCGATATCTGTATTGGACGAATAATTTTTAGACACAGTCAGTGCAACATACCTTCAGTGCAGTCTCTTCCAAAGAGTCCATTTATGCAAACACAGCGATAACCTTTGCGGGTGAATCCTGTTTGGCATCGCTGGGTCGCAGAACAGGGATTACTAGAGCAAGGGTTCTGTGAGGCAGAGAAAGTTGATGTTGGTATAAATGGCGAGTCCGCCATAGTGGCCTCGTCCGATCCTTTTGGTTTATTCTTATTAGCTATGGCATCTAATTGCTTGCTGTGGTGTGGTTAAGTTAATAAGGTGTGGCATAATTATAACATGATTAACCGACGTGGAAAGGGATGAAAAAACAGGACGTGGCTGATGCATCATGGTATGACATTCTATGTTGTGACACCCATGAAAAAGCATGACAAGATTTCATTTCGTGAAAATGGATGACATAACATAATATGACTTAACATAACATGTTGTAGACTTACATGACCTGACATGGAATGGTAAGACAAAAATCACATAACTGATATATTATGGTATATCGTCATATTAGATAAAACTTATGACATAATTGATACAACATTGTACGATATAGCATCGATGGACATGACCTGACAAGGAATGGTATGACAAAACATGGCATAACTGACATGAAATGACTTGACATAGTACGACGAGACATGGCATGTGATACCAACACTTGACATGACTTAGCTTTGCATTGCTTGAAATGGGTAGCATGATATTGCCTGAAATGGGTTCGGAAGGAAATGACATGATATGACATGGGCTGACATGACGTGGCTTGATGTGACGTATATATATGGCATGACAGCATGACATAACATCACATGTCATGACATCACATCACAGGTCATGACATCCCATTACATGACTGACCTGAAACGGGATAGGATGAAACGACATTACGCGTCATGGGACAGTATGAATTAATATATGATATCACTGAAACAGTCGCAATACTTGCTTCTGACGAAACTTATAATGATTGAATTAAGGTTACCATGAATGATTGATAGACAGCTCCCTTTCCGTATTTGACATCAAAGGGATGAATTTCGTTTGTAGAATTGTTCAGTTCACATAGATACCCTCCATCTGGATCCTGTGGCTGTCTCAGGTTGTAAGAGACACAGTCTGCCGCCATATAACAACACACTTCACAGGCGCTAGCTGATATTATCTCCCGCCTCCTGATCACGTGATTCTCCAAGAAAAAGTCGTGGATCAAATGATCCATTTCCACCTGTCGACACTCCTCTAAGAATGAAAAAAAAAAATCACCGCACCGTTCCCGCGCCAAGCAAAGCTAATAAATTATAGGAAAAGTAGAACGAAAGATGAAGTTTGAAAGATGTAGATTGACTTTACAGCTCTGGACCTTCATAAATCTCTTTTCGCTCGGACTCAGACGGAAATCCTAAGGATCTAACAGGCTTACATAAAAAAGAGGATTTTCCCAAATTCAGGAGAATTATTTCGCGGGAAGGAGAGTTATTTTTTACGGCAACAATGAATTCAGGCGCTAGGAGCATGCACTTTAAACAACACATGGCCAGTTGAGATAAAATCCTTCATGTGAAACTGAAGATCTTTCAGTGAACTTACGTCACCTAAAATTTAAACAGAAACACGCGTCGAGGCAATTATACAGTCCTGATTCATTTAAATCATCCCAGAAGTAACCATTATGTAAAATCTTGCAATCGGGTTTGCGTGCATGTTTGTCACAGCAGTAAGTGACATCTTTTCCACTCGTACCCAATGGTGGGTTTTTAGGACAACATATCGTTTCTAAAAAGTGATAAAAGACTATCAGGTAATTCACAGGTGTCGAGTATAGCCACTTGTACTCAATTTTGTGCCTAAATAACACCTAAATGCTCACCTTCGTTCAACGCCGAGCAATTTTTACCCAAGATTGCAATAAGAAAGAGAACTTGAAACGTTTCCATAATCTTGCATAGACTTGTTTTTCATACCGTTTCGAACACAAAGTATAAAATCCTCACTTTGTTTGAGTTTTTTCTCCGCCGTCGCAGCAGTAAATAATTTACATTATCACCTGCTCTGACTATGTAAGCATAACTGTTGAAAGTGTATCAATTTTTGATAGTAGTTCAACTTTGCCAATGTATAATGTTTATAATTAAGGCCCACTTCTTTAAAGTCTTGTAATCCAATTATCGACGCTCAAATTATTAAGCACAAATAACTTAAAGCTGTTAACCAGATGTCCAAACAACTCAATATTTCGTTGAATGACATTGAATTTTCCCTATAAACCAGAAAATTATGTTATTTCCGTTTCATTCATGTAAGGCATCGAATTGTTGGAGGGGCAAAGTAAACCCTTTCTTGCCAGCAGTATTAAAAAGTTCACGTAGTAATTGCCAATCTCCGAAAATAGAAAATAAGACCAATTTACACCAACTGAAAAACAAGTTGTATTTACGGCTTGAAACGGAATTCGTTTGTCGAAACATGAGCTAATTAGACATAATTACTTAAATACACAAATAGACCACGATAGTTCCACTCCGAGTCCTATAAACCTTCTCTTTGATAGGTTACCAGTCGTGTTTTACACACAATCGTTTATAATCAGTGGATTCGTGCCCAGCTGAGATCATTCGTAATCAGCCAGTTGACTCACTCCATACCGAAACTAATAATCTATGTTTTGCCTGTTAAATATGTTTGAAGTAAGGTCGATTTCTTATCACCGCTAATGAACTTGCACGATACACTAATGTTTGGAAAGACAATAAACTGTTTTATTAGAAATGTCACACTTACCTTCTGCTAGGCAATAATTTAGTTGGTCATGTTAGGAGGTCATAAGGAGATCACTGGTATACGGAACAGAAATCTTACTCTCTTGACTAACCTGCTAACTTGTCGTACACAATAATCAACGTGTGTTCAGCTAGGTTTTGGTCGTTACTAAATGTTAGGACAGGTACGAATCGATCACCCTTTGATAACGTAAACCTTTCTTGTGTAAAGCAGTTATATTTGGAAGAAAGTGAAATTTCATTTTCATAACCAAGGCTTTATATAATTGAACTTTCGCTTCACAGCACATGAATTGTGCTACCAGGAAATTGCCTACTCATCAATTCACGTTATTAATTTTCTTCCCGTTTGGAGTACAGTGCGATCTTCAACATGTTTAAAAGACCACATTTTCATATTATAATGAGCATCTTTTAGTTAGGCGACTGTCTTTTGGTTTTGACACGGAATATACCCAATCACACAACACACCTTCGTCCGGAAAAAAAAAAGATTTAGGGAGGCTGAATACAGTTTTTCCTTTTTGCTCAAATGATTTCCACACCTGTGTTGACCAAAGGTAAGAGAATACAAACATTTTAAATTATCTTGCCAAAGTTGCAGTGGTGGGCGTGGTATGGCAATCGTCATTGTTATGCTGGCGTTATGGGGAAATCCAATTAAACAGCTTTTGGAGACAGTTTCGAAAAAGTCCTCGAACAGGATTTTAATTTTAGGGGTAAGGCATCACTATTGACTGAATTTCAAACAATTTAATCTAGCCGTTTTTACATTACGATGCCGCAAAGTTTTTTTTGTCTATTTATCAGTTGCAAAATTATACTGCTAAGGGAAAAAACTCTAACTCTACCGAGTGATTTACATTTGTTTTTCGTGTGTCAAATGTGTTCTAAGCTATTGCGCTGAATTTGAAACCAGTTCCTCGTATCAATGAGGAACTACAGCTTATGAAATTACGAGTATTATTTACCATAATATTTCCTAAAGGTTAATCCGAGGTTAAGTCTGTTGGAAAAGGTTCCGTAAAATTCTTTACGTAAAATAATACATATTTACATCAATTCAGAATGATCAATTTTTTTCGATATTGATGTGAAGTAAGTCGGATGAAGATGCCCTTTACGAATCTCCTGTGCTCTCCAAACTTCCCACCGGCTTCAAATCTCGATAAACGTACTTGCACTCGCTGCCGCAAGAGCCAAATGTAAATTTGAATCCTTGGCAACAAGACTTTGGCATCGTTTTCACTTCATAATGAGAGAAGATTTTCACTCTTATCGGACTGGCTTGGCCCTATCTTGGATTTCTAGTATAAAAGTTTTTATCTTCTTGTATCGAAAACGGACTGATGCCTGCAGAATTTATTACAGCGTTAGGCTTTATTGTTACAAATGTGCACTTGAAGCGAAACTGAAAATTGTCTTGGCGCCACATAGTAACCTCGAGTTACCTTTTATTTGGCTTGAATCACCGCGAAGGATCACCTTTTTATAATCATGCAGGTGTTTAAGCGTTTTCACGAAAACAGCAGTCACGCTGGCTCAGATCCTTTCCCTAAGACTCTTGCTCGTAAAGAACCGGTTTGATCACAGAGTACCCAGACAATTGTCAGATTGGATTGTACTTCGATTGAAATTTAGAGAAAATATAAATATGTTATTTACCGGCTAAGGGTCGGTCCGTATGGTGAAAAACTGTGACCATGGTCTTGAAAATTAAAACTGCGCTCGCTCTTTCACTACGAACAAATTGTTTGAGAAAATTCAGATATTAAATAAATGAAAGTTCCATCGATAACTTCAACTGTAACCAATGCAAATACCTCACGTTTTAACTTTCTAGGTACTTTCCGTGAACGATCAAAATTAATTGCAGACGGTTTTTAGGCCGCTTGTCAACCAACGTAATTACACTATTGCTTATACAAATTCATTCTGAAACCAATATTTTGAGAGAGAGAAAAGAGAGGATTAATAAGTTATTCATCGGCTTGAGGTAGTGACCGACGTCTCTGCTCAAAAATACTGCCCAGCCGGAAAACGAGATATATTTATGAAAAATGGCAAGAAAGTAGACATGTACTCGGCGACTCACGAAAGCGTTACCGTGGCCCGTGGGCAGAGATAGGAAAATACAGACCGGGTAAAGAACCAATCAGATCGCAGGATTCGTTACCGTGCACCTTGAAAAAAAAATAAATGGAAATATCGGAAAGCTCCTTATCATGCCTCGAGATAAATTTTGACGAATATTCAACATCAAAATAAATGTTATTTCTCCTAGTAATAATAATAATACAGTATTTATATAGCGCTATTTCTATTGCTATTCAATAGCGCTATGTTTCTATATTGCCATTTCCGTGGCTAAAGCTTGTCGATATTTCCAACCATATCCTCCAAATTCAAATTTTCAATCAATCACACCCTTTGTGTGGGCTTCTTGTGGTGAGCAGGTAATTTTAGTGTTAACAACTGAGTTGAAAACGTTAATTGGCCACCGGAAAGAGTAAAAAAGCTGACGTTTCGAGCGTCAGCCCTTCGTCAGAGCGATTGGTGTGGCGATTCCTGTGGTGATTTGGGCGAAACGCGAATCAGTAAATTTGGAGCTTGCCACTGTTTTCTCGTCCTCTCTATGACTAATTTTTTTCAATTTTTTTTGTCGGCAGAAATACTATCCCGGCCTCTCCCAAAGCAACTCATTTGTTAGTGAAGACTGGCGAGCGCGTTTGTACAAAAGGTGCAATTCCAGTCCTCTTTGGGATGGTTTAACAGGCTCTCGCGTGTTAGACCTGCAGTGCACGATCATATCACTTTGGTGTCATTCCGGCAGAAGTATAGCACAGCAGTTTACCCAGAGTATAATAGACTTCTTCATAGCTATCTCCCGTATCACCAAAGCTCAGCTGAATGACTGGAAGGTGACTCCTGTTAGTAAGAAGACCACTGTCCTTCCGCCAAACATAGTCATTCTTTGCACAGTTACAATGCCGTTTTGGAGCGTCACAGGAGTTTGTCAGTCCGCATGCGCACCCTTTCCCGTGAGGAACTCCTCCCCAGTACTTCATTTTTTCATCCTCTCGTGACAACCAGTATGCATCATTTATTGTAGCTCCGTGGCATTCGACTTTAATGAATTGCTCGCACTTCTCTGAAGCTTGTGTCAAAGCCGCTAATTGAGAGAGGCTGGTACCAATGTAGCGTACGTTACGTGTATAGTGCCCTGGTAACTCAAATCCTTTCATGTGAGTTTTTTTCTCGCTGTCGTGACTGACAACTGCCACTCCAACACCTCCTTTGTCAGTCATGTTACAATAAACTGAAAAAGGATCCTCGCCAAGTTCGCCGTCAGGATCAATGACGTAGTTACCACTGACGTCACTGATGTTTGCCCTCACTTTGGTGCAGGTTTCAGGGTACTTGACACGAACAACGACATTGCCTTGTAGGTACCCCACCTTATCAATGGCATTGCAACTGTAATTTCCTTCATGACTGAAATTGGCCGATAAAACAATCAGTTTGTCGAAGGAGTCAAAAATCACGCCTTGAGGAAACGATGATGTTCCATTGAACATCCACGAAACGTTGACTGCCAAGTCACTTGAGATGGAACAAAACAGCTTCCACGTCTGACCGCTGTACAAAAGTGCAGAGGATGGTAGTCTGCTGATAAACTTAAGACCCGAATACACCTCAAGCCGTGCAGTTGATGAATTGCTTCCCATAATGCTTGTGGCCGTACACACATAGGAACCGCTGTCGTTTTTGCTGACGTTTAAAATGTTTAGCGCCACTGCGTCAATTACGCTTCGCGAATCTAACAAACTTCCTTGGAGCCTGTCCCACGTGACTTTACCGCCAAACTGTCCTGTGACGTTACATATGAATGTCACGTCCCTTCCCTCCTTAGTGACTTTCGTCTGAGGTGTAATTGTCACAGAAGAAAGAAGGCCTGTAAAAGGTCGCATATACTTTGTATTATTGCTTCGTATACGCAAACCTATATTGATCAAAGCATTTACATTTTTCCTTTAAGTTCTGTACGCCAGCTATAAGCTTTTTGGGAAAGAATTCCCCTATAACCCGGTTCAAAAGTCGACTTACATCCGTTAAAAGTTGCCTAAACTACAAAATGTTTTTGAAAAAATTGTTATGTTTTTTTTTTATGTGCGCCTTCCACGGAAATCTACGAGGAGAAAACTTGCTTGCATAACTTTAGCTAAAAGATACAAAAATAAAGAAATTCCAATAAATAATAAGAAAGATGATAAATTTTGAGTACTGCAAAGAATTAGGGAGAGATGATTAGTCGTCTCATCACGAGCGAGGGAAAAAAACATTTCTGAGTTCCCATGGGGAATCGTACTCTATCTAGACGCATGCGCAGTCGACATTGTTAATCCTGGCAGTGTGCATGACACATATCGCATATGTACCTGATACTGGCTCATCTCATCATAGAGAGAGTTTCTGTAGCTCAGTGCACGTGGTAGCGCATCGGAGTGTAGAATCCTAATGTCTGAGGTTCATTACTCATGGTAACTCAGTGTTTGTTCTACGTTTGTGACAAGACGATAAAAAATTTTTTTCCCTTATCCCGAAATAGAGACAAGAGTACCTCGCATACAGCGATATCCTTGTTCTGTAAACCCGTTTTGACAAACTGTATCATCAGGACAGGGACGGCTTTGGCAAGCGTTCTGCAATGACATGTGGAGGAAAAAATCACCTTCGATGTAAAAAATATAGGTGCATCTCTTTTGTGTTTGTTTTGTTGTAGTCTTCTCAAGAGAGGCTCGATTGAAAAGTCGTTTGGCAAGTGAAGAGCACGTACTCAAGGACCAAAGCAGTATATGAGACTGCTTTTGAAATTAGTCTATGTCGTAATATTGCATAGCTAGGCTCCGTTTCCGGTTAGCGGTCATCATGTTATTAGTACCCAGGCCACCGCGAGCGGTTTCCTCCATAAAATTCTGTTAGTCTTTTGCTTAAGGTATCACGGAAGGAACAAAAGTCATAGTTTTTCAATTTCCTGAAAATTTCATTTATGGAAAAGAAAACAAAGATCTCCTAATTTCTGAAATTTCAATTTTACGTTATGTTTTCTGTCAGGAGATACAAAGCAAAGATTAATTTAAGAGTAGAACGGAAGGCGTGAGATTGACGACATTCCATGTCAACTTCTTGTCGGCAACTAATCAACGATTACAAAACCATTATTGATCTACAATGACACACTGAAGGGTTTTGAACAGTTAGAAATCGCTAATTCGTTATCACTTTGGTTCTTTCCAAGAGCTAGAGACGGAATTGTTCTTGTAATTCTAGTGTTGTTATCAAGTTGTTACCATGTCCAAAAGCGACAAAAGTCTATTTTGCTGTTCCGGAAAAAGGAAAATTTCTTCGCAGTTTGCATCGGAACGGAAATATTGTTGACTGACAGCGTTGTGGCGGCTTCAGTTCTTAACTTTGAAGAGTTTATTTTCCTCCGACATTCAGTCATTTTCCGCGAGCTTTTGGAAATGAAATGAACCCCAAGGACGTGTATGGGATTTTTCCATTTTTTCTTAGTTTATGAGACAAAGCGTCTGCATTTAAAACCTTGCTCAAAAGCGTAATTTTGAAGTTAGAAAAACTATTTTTCGGCGTATTCTGGTTGTGTCACAATGAAATTTACCCGATCCCCCTGAGGTTCGGTAATGTTCTAATGATCTCTCTCATCGGCTGTCAATTCTGTCAGCGATGACTAATCCCCGTCCGTTTTCCCTGTAATAAGAAGGGGGAGTTTAACTGTACTGCTTACCTCAAATGACTGGTAGACAAATCCTGCGCGATGCTCGAGATCATTGGGGTGCATCACGTGATCCGAATTGCTCAGCTCGCACTCATGATTTCCGTCCACAAGAGGACCAAGGTTGAAGGACATGCAATTTGCTTCTTTAAAGCACTGTGTCAGGCAAATGCTGTCTATTTTCACAGTGATGTTTTTGAGCAGGTGACCAAGAAGAACTACTTCATTTTTAGGATATTTATGCCTTAACACGCGGCAATCTGTAAACAAGTTATTAATTTTCGGTTTCTATTTTCAAACTTTTCTTAATTATGCTTATAACTGCGATGCTATTTCTCAGAGTTGTTAAACGATTTGAAATAACGTATTCATTCTTCACGAGTTTATCATTTCTCGGTTGGGTTGAAAACTCATATAGGTTTCTGTTCTATCTTCCTCTCCATAAATCCAATATGAAAATATTAGAAATTCGGCAAATCTTGAATGAAGAGTGTGTTTCACTAGTGGATAAAAGTGTTTCACAAACATCTGTTTGTAATAAAAAATTAATGACTTTACATAGGTGTAGATGAAAATGAAAAAAATTTATGAAATGTTACTTTTATCAAACGAAAAGTAGCGAAATTAACTTCAAAATCGCATTATAAATTTATGGATATTTTTCGCGCTGAAAGTAGAATTGTGTTTGCAAGTGGAGACATTTCACAAAACAAACTTACTTTGTTCAGTTTTATTTCGAAAATTAAGAAAATCTAAACTTCAGGGTAATTTAAAATCGATGAAACTTTCGAAAAATCAAAACGACTTTTGAGTTTCTTACCTTCTCCTTCTGAGATTTTCAGCAAAGAAAGTATCAAGAAGAGCGAAACACTGCGAAGGATTGAAGAGAAAGGCATCTTTAAGTTCAAACGCTGCTGTATTGACAGGTGAGGAAGTCTTGCCCAAGAAATTGAACTGATTACAAAATACATAATTTATTAATTTAATCGTGCATGCTGTTTTTTTACATTTCACAGTTAAATGTTTTCCTAGGCAACGGGTTCAAGTTGCTTTTGAGCCGAGGTTTAATTAATCACTTCACTCTTCTGAAGTCGAATGTTGGGAAGCGTTTACACGCAAACGCGAAACAGTAGTCAGTATTCAAGGCAGGTAAGCCATCTTCAAAGAATAACCTTATTAAGACCTGGGCTGACCCGGAACAAAGCAGCTCGCCATCTTTTCTCCAAACTTTCGCTGTAATTCTACAAACCAGTCCTCTTGAATTGGAAAAATTCGGTCAAACTTAAATACCTCGTTTACATGAGGTAAATTAAAGATTTACCAAAGAAGGATAAGGTGAGTTATAATTTCATTTTAATACCTTTATGAATTATACAACGCCTTGCTACACCACAAGTCTCGACGATATCTCTTCATAAGCGGGAGAACAATAACATTGTTTTCATTCGCCAAAAATATTATTTCCAATATTGCTAGAAGTACATGATCTTTCAAAAATATACTCTAAGCTAAGTACACTCAAAATATTTTTATCGTCTTGTGATCTGCGTACTTTGAATTAAGTTATTAAGTTTATACTTGTACAGAAAATTCTCTGTTCCTGTTTATCTGTGTATTGTTTTACAACGAATAAAGAGTAAAAATGCATTCCGCTTTCAAATCTTAATTTTAAGAGCTACTTGAATATTTCAAGATACAGCAGAGCAGGAAAATGTTTGGATTGTCTTCGGTGCGCAGAAATACGAATACATTCTCGCAGTGTAACATCCCTTCCGAAATTCCCATCTTCAAACTCTGTTTCGCTTGGGCAATGAGCCACTTATTGTAATGCTTTGGTGTCCAGTTACAATTTCTCGAGAGTTCGAGTTTGCCAGCTGCCCCCAAAGGTCAATTTCTTAAAAATAAAGAATGTAGTTTGGAGTACGGTGCAAATTCTACTGATAAATAATAATTTAAAAATAACAAATACGTTTACTGTTACTGTTAGATACACATTAAGTCCTCAACTTCTCCCCAGAGGGATCAGTTCATTTCTCCTCCTTAGGGGGAGCTAGTGGGGGAGTCAGTGGTAGCATGTACCCAGATGATACAACTTTTCCGATCGTCTCGACTTGGAAACCAATTTCATGTAGGTGACAGTGATCCAGAATCATTCGGCCGTCAAAGGCAAACGCTGGTTTCAGCATGCTGTCGTATATACGCTTGTAATCGTACGTCTGTGGAAATGAAGAAGTACAAACGATAGCATGTTAACATGGCTTTGCTTGACAGGTGTTTTTTGCATTCGGAGGCAAGCTAAATCGCCCACTAAAGAGGGTTCTGGGTATAAGATAAGAGACAAGCGCGAGGAAACACGAGGGGTGAGTCACGCGCGAGAGGTGTAGCAAAAGCGGGAAAAAGGTACATTATTTTATTCGCGCGCGATTTCGGCTCGCCTAAAAACTTAAAGAAATGATGACTGTGCATCAGACTTTGTACGTTGAAAGCAACATCAATAGGCATTTCGGAATCCCTTGCGTTGAATTAGTTTTCAAGCTTAACTGAAGGGTATTTTTTATAACAGACTGTTGTGATGCCATAGTAACCTAAGTAAAAATGTACATATCTTGTTTTGTGAGCAATTTTTTGGGGACCATTTTATGCCCATTCTGGGAAACACTAGACAGACTTTAGTCCTAACAATCAATATAGAACGGGTGTCTGAGACAGCAAACCATTTGGAGCCACACGAAAATATAATTTCAGGCTTGTAATGAAGAATCTAGAAAATAAGAAAACACAAACCTTGAATTCATCCCACTCGGTGCAAACAACAAGAGCATGTGCATCTTTAACTGCCTTGTAGGGATCATCAGCAATTGTAATCAGACGTTCCACTGCGGAGAGAAAAAAAAAATTAATAAAGAAAGCTGTTATTTGTTTTGCCCCATGCATGGGGAAAAGAAAACATCTGTTTCCCTCACGAAGAATGAAACTACAGATCTTTGCAGTTTTTTCTCTGGTGCTCTACCACTGAGCAGCAGAGAACACTAGGCCATTACTATGTAAATCTTTTTATACCCTCACATCAGTATGCATATTCTCCAAACTGTTTTCCTTACATTTCCTTAGGTAGCAGACAGGGAGAATTTGTTCAAAAATCAAGAGCTCATTTGGCTGGTGATCATTTCCTTTATTCTTGTGACCATAATGTTTGATTCAGGGGTGAGAAATTAGATGCTAATCACAAAAGGTCGAGGGCATAAGATGTAACAAGTGTCCTGCATACTGTTGGGATCAGAGTGATGTTGACGCATCTGCATGTGAAGAGGATAAGATCACACACCCCAACTTTCAATTTAACGTGGAAACAATGGACGAAGAGCCACCTCAGAGCAGTGCCTCTGCAAAATTCTAGTGTCTCTGCTTATTTATTTGTTAAATTCCATGAAATAATGCTGAATAATGAAACTGGTAAAAAAATTGGTACCTCTTTCTGGATCTTCTGAAATAGAAGGCTGGGTTAACTCCCTGCAAAAATAACAGTAATACAATCATTTATCAAAATCTAAAATAAGTCCGTAAGATTGTAAATTCTACTAACATAAGAGCAAATGATGAAAACTGCATGAATTATTAAAGAGAAATTTTATCATACTTACAACATGATTTGATCTTTTTCGACTTTGGGATCATAAACGGTTATCCTTGCCCCTTCCTCCATCAGATATTTGCAGATGTAAATGCTGGCTGATTCTCTGTCAATGAAAAAAATCAACAAAGCTAAGTACTGACTTTCTCAGTCTATAATCAGCCTTGTCAATTAAATGTAACCAGTCAGGGAAGTCAGGAAATGTACATGACATGATTATAGGGCTTACCTAGTGTCTCCAGTATTCTTCTTGAAGGCAAATCCAAGCAGTGCAATCTTCTTGTCTGTCACTGTGTTGAACAGGCAATTCACAATTCTACTTGCAAATCGCCGTCGTTGATACTCATTCATGGCAATTACTTGGTACCAATAGTTTGCAACTTCAGGCAAGTTCAGTGCCTCAGAAAGGTAAACAAGATTGAGAACATCCTTCTGGAAACAGCTTCCACCAAAACCTATCATTAAAAAAAAAAAAAGAAATACTCTCACCTCTGGCTTGCGATTTACAAACATTTGAAGTGTTCTGTCATTACGTCCCGCATGGTTATTATACTGGTAAACTCATATAAAGTGTGGTCTATTGCAATTTATAAAATAACTATGGGATCTGCATAGTATCTCAGTTGTTTAACAACTATTCCACAAGCATGCATGGGATATGAGATAGTAACTAGGTGATGAAGTGCATAGTGGCAAGTTGGCAATAGCCAATCTCCTATCCAACAAGTGTGAATGGCATAATTGTTTTATTAAATTTCATTCATTCCTGAACTTTTGAATATTTCAGCAAAAAATTGTAAGCTTCCAAAATGTTGCATACAAGGTGACTTGGAATATGAGCTGATAACCCAAGCTGAGAGAACCAATCAGAACACTAGAGACGTAATATCCCAAGTTGAAAAATGTAGTTGTTCATTAGATCTTACCAACAGAGGCTTGCAAAAAGTGTCTTCCTATCCTTGTGTCTCGTCCAATTGCACTTGCCACTTCAGACACATTTGCACCAGTTGCTTCACAAATGGCACTCATGGCATTGATACTGGAGATTCGCTGGGCTAGAAAAGCGTTGGCTGCCTGCAAGGAACAATGTCCACTTGTGTTTTCATTTCAACAAAATATTTTGCCCATCAACACTCATACATGTAGTGCAATCAAAACACAAAGTTACCAACCAGCTTTGAAAGCTCAGATGACCATGTGTTGGTCTTGATAACATTTTCTTTGGGAATCCAGTGTTCATAAACTGATGACAAGGCTTCGATTGCTTTGTATCCTTCTCTAGTTTGTTCACCTCCTAGAAAACAGAGTGAGGAAGCCATGTATTAAAAAAACCTCAATCATCATGATGCTGATTATCAAAGGTCAAATAAACAGGAGTTGAACTATGTACAAGGTAAATCAATCAAAATAGTAATGGAAGTGTAATTATACTAACCAATCAGAACTCTATCAGGTTCCATCAAGTCTTTGATAGCTGTACCCTCAGCCAAAAACTCTGGATTGGATAAAACCTACAAGGAAGGGGAGGCATTTTCTTCTTAACAGCTTTTGTTCAAATACATCTCAGTATTATCATCACCGTCATATTAATTCTCACCATCCTTCGACTCTCACTTTCACTTTCATTATCTTCATTGTCATTACTATAACTATTATCAGAAAATAATGAACAGCTTCATCTTTATCATCATCATTATTATCACCATTATCATCATCATCATCAACCATTGTAATTGTTAGTATTATTATCTATGAAAACAATTTGATGACAAGCTAAGAAGTTCAAATCAAACCTGGAATTTTCCTCTACTTCCATTTGCATCAAAAATTCTTGTAATACTAAGGAAAAAAAAAGTTTAATTATCTGATAACTGTGTCTTTTTCTCCATTCCCACCATAGTACTCAACAATCAGGTACCTTGGTCTGAATACATACATATTTATAAAACACCCGCCAGAGAATTACTTTAATTATATCTCTCAGTTAGTCCATGCACTGCGATTGGTAAGTTGAATGAACTGTATTTCACCGTATGGCTTGCTAAATTAAAAAGTTTGTTGGAATTGAAATGTTCCTCCTCTAATTGAACCCAGAGATAACAACAAGTCACAGGGACAAGTCTCATTGTGTGTACTACCCATTTTTGCCACGAAATCTAGTTGCAGGGACTAAAATTTGGTCCCTGTGACTAGTCTCACAAATTCAAACTAGTTTGAATTTTTAGGACAAGTCCTTGTAACTTGTTCCTCGAAATGCTTTGTGTAAACTGTTTGTGGGACAAGTCCCAGCGACCAACTTAAAATATACCAATCACAGATTGGTATCACTAGCTCTGACAACTCCTTACAAACTCTGTTTCAAGATGGCGGATCACGAGGATGATGATGCTTGAAGTGTCACTTCCACCAGAATGCTGATCGACTTTTACAAAAAAAGTCGAGAACTCTGGGACAAAAATCATGAAGATACTAGCAATAAAAGCAAAACCAACAAAGTACTACCTCCCCAATTCCAAAGTTTGAGAAATAAAGTGCTTTTGTTTCTGTATTGGCCACATCTGATCGGTAACAAAGTGTTATTTTCCGCTTACATCCGCACTGAATCAGAAACAATTCAAGCACTGAATAATTTTGCTGAAAAATCTGTGGTTTGTACTAAGCTGATTGCTATTTTCATTTTGGTTTCTTAAGAAAGCCGCAGAGTGAAAGAACGATACTGTTTGCCCCCCAGCTTTTGCTATTTCCCTATGCAATTGGTTCCTGCATGTAAATACAACTAGAGATTAGTCCCCTTGTGTGTGCCGACCTTTGGTAACAAGTATGAATATAGTAGTAGTTCTTATTACCTTTCAGCAGCCCTAACAGGTACTGTGCTCTTTTCCACAACAATCTTCTCTCCATCAGCAATCTCTGCAATGTGTCTTGCCGCAGATTCTATGTACTTCAAATCTGGAGCACGGCCCTAATGCACAGTTCATGGATAAGTGAGAAGTGAATATTGCTTTTTGTTAGAAAAAGTGTTTATTAAGAAGGTAATTTTTCAAATTCCTTTTACTGATCAAATAGTGTTCAGAACTTTCTTGAATTTGCTATTAATAGGTACTCCTTAGCACCCTAACATCAGTTTACATACTTTCCATTCATTTTCTAAGGTGCTAACAAGCAGAATTTGTACAACAATCAAGAGCTTCTTCAGTTGGTGATCATTTCATTTGTTCTCATGACCTTAATATTTGATTTAGGGGTGATATTGTTAGGAGGGAAAAATATATAAATGGGTTGAAGGGTTATATTAATACAAAGTGAACCAGTTCTCTTGAACTGTCATGAATAGATCATTGCTTCCGGTAATATTACATCATCAAGAAAATGAACAAGTCAGTATCATGAAAAACAAAAATATCTTATCCAAAGAGTGCAACTATAAATGGATGGGAAAATCTTGCCATAACCAAGTATTACAAGTACAATATGCAAATACAATTTATTGACATTCTAGCAAATTTTCCTTCTTCCAAAAAAAGAAAGAAAAAAAGAAAAGCAATCATGAAGAATTGTTTTGGCAATAAATTGAACAAAACAATAAATTAGTATGCAAATTCTCAAAATCACGACAGGGCTCTTAGTACCTTCGATAGGAACTCATAATTGAATACTCTTTAGTTTTTAGTTTTCAATTAGATCGCTCGAGGCTATTATCAAAATTTTCTTAAGGGTCATAAAAGTAAAGATGCATCTATCTTTTTTCTTTTCAGTATCTACAAAAAGACACAATGTAATGTATGTCCAGTGACAAACATCTTAGCATCAACCAAACAGCTTTTATTTTAAATTAATATATTCGATTCCGGAAGCCACTCGACCATGGCGCCAGCAACTGAGAATGTTTTGTATTTATTTAGCTGTTCAGAGAAGTGACAACAATAGCACAGCATTCTTGAAAGTTCAAACATTTGACTCCAATCTACATAAAGTACAATACCCTCATTGGAAACTTTACATAACAATATAAACCAACTTTATCAGTTGTCGACCAATTGATGTTTTTTTTTGTCAGTCGACTACAATTACTTTGCAGGCCACCGCTAATTATGCAATGTTTTTATTCATTAAAAGATATCGTTTCCACGAAACCAGTCTTTATTTCTATGGCGACAGAATTTGTGGCGAAAAAATTCATAGAATAGAGCAATCCCTGGTACTTGAAGACATATACGGCACAAGGAAACTCTCCTAATACTTGACCACGTAATAAAATTACATGAATATTTAATTCACATCAAAAAATTAGTGTTGAAACAAAACATTTTGTCTATACGAAGCTATTATTTTAATCTGTAACAACTTAATTTTAGAATGAAAGAAGTTCATATCTTTGAAAAGCTTACCTTTCCCAATCCGAAGGTTTTCGTTGGTGTATTAACCTAAAACGTATCAAATGAATGGAGACATTATATTACTAGGAAGAACTGAGTTCGATTAATTAATTTGTTCGGCCAAAGAAGCCAGGCTCATATCTTGCCGAAATGACAATTAGTGTTTCAAATGAATGAATGGATACTCGCATATAAGCGATTTTTATCGATCAATACTCACACAGATGAATATTAAATCAGCTTCACGAATGGCGCTGTCGATATCTGTTGAAAAGAACAGGTTTTTGCCACGACACTTCTTTACAATATCATCAAGACCGGGCTGTGAAAACGAATCAGAACAGGAAAAAAAAAATTATTCATAAGACGTAAAAATTCATCCACAACATCCAAAATTAAATATAGTTCGCTCACTTACCTCGAAGATCGGTAACTTCTCCGAATTCCATGAGTCAATTCGCGGCTTACTTAAATCGACTACAGTTACTTTGATCTCCGGGCATTTTAACGCGATGACACTGCAAGTCGGGCCGCCAACATATCCAGCACCTATACAGCAAATGGCTTTGATAGTGGTCATTTCTCAGAGTTGTGAATAATCAAACTAACCTCGTCTGAAGGGGAGCAGGGATTAGTAAGTTGTGTTTACTTGCGGCGTGAGTTAAAAGATTTCTTGATTTGTAAGTGGGCGGTCAGGTCAGCGGATCCCAAAGGGGTATTCCTTTGTTTGACGCTGATTGGCTAACTATAATTAAATCAGCTGTCCAATGAGGAGCCCTGGAGCCGGGAGAAAAAATATAGGCCCGTAGTGCGTAAGCGCTCACTTAAAGATATTGCATGTAAAGAGTAAAAAAGTTCTCATGATTTTGTTTGCCTTTCATCTGGCGCCTTTTGTCTTTCAGGATTTGGATAAAAAAGCCTATTTTAGAGCCTTTTCACTTTTGTCACCATAGGCAGATTGTGTCATGACATGTAGGACAAACTTTAGAAACAGAAAAAATGTCTGATAAATTCAGCTCCGAATGATCCTGGTCTGAAGTCTTCAAGAAAATCGAATTTAAAGGTTATTGCACTAAAATTAACCAATGAGTAGCCAAGATATAGTTTCTCTTTACAATATCAATACAATATCAAGCAGATATGTGATGAGAATAATAATAATAATAACAATAAACAAAATAAGTGATTATAAGTTGATTTGATATCAATTTCTCCAAACTAACATTTTAAGAATTATATAGCAGACAGTAAGGATAATCTCTAATGAGATATCAGAAAGGGTTAGAAATACCTTTTCCTTTTATTATTCTTGACTGTTAGGTTTATACATTGATTCAGAAACTTAACAGTACACAATCATTTTTAGGTAGCTCAATGGAAGATTTTTATTGAAAGCAATGTTCTTACATATTTTCCAACACACAAATAACAAGAGGAATATCTTCAAGCTCAGTAGCTTCAAAGTTTAGGTTGGTAAAAGCTTACTTTGCCACCTAAACAACCCAAAGAGAGAAGAGAGTGAGTTGGTGAAAACCTACAAGTCACCACAGCATGTTTATGACTGATAAGTGTTTTTAAATCGCACAGCTCTGAAGGTGTCTCCTGAACACAAGTTGCCAGTTCTTCACAATGTTTACTAAAACCAAGGATTCTGGCAGAATTGCCAAATGGTGAACAAATGATTCTTCCATCACTGCTAAAACAATGTTCTTTTATGTAACCCCTGGCTACATTGGGCTCCTTAATACTGTAGGTAAGGCGGCGTGAAGGAGTTGCATTGTCTTCACCTACAATAGAAGTTAATAATAATATTAATATGTTAAATAAATAAACATGTAGGATATCTTGTAAGAGTGATTCAAAGAGAAAAATACATGGGCATGCATAGCTATGGAATTTCTTTTCAAGTTGAACAGGAGAAGAGAAATTCGTACATCTAAAAGCATCCATGTGTCATTTTGTTTATCATAATATATATAGATTTAGCCAAGCCTAAAAGTGGAGCTTGCATTTTTTTTCCCTGCATGTTTCAAGGGCAAAACACCCTGCCCAGGCAAGGACTAGAACCCGGGTCATCCGACTCAGAGCCCAGTGCACTGACCGCTGGACTATTGAACAAAGCTGTGGTGTTGGGGTGCCCACAGTACAGTTAACCTCGCATGTTAAAAGTAGCACCTTGTACAGTCGTATGGTCGTACAGTCGTACATCCAAACTTTTTCGGCTTAATGGGTCACTACTATTTTGTATAATTATGGGGCTATGCTCTGCGAGCTCTGCTATAAACTCCATAGGCCTTTACTGACCATAAATGCTTGTCATTCATGAACCTGATAACATGGCAATTGAAAGGTAAGTGATGTATCAGCAGCTGATTGGAAATATCAAAGAATTATGATCACAATTTTACACTTGTGCAGTTAATCCCTTTTCTCAGGGCTGGAATCCCTGTTAAACACCGATGTTTATACTATAAAATAATTTCCATAGCTAGGGAGGGCAACGGCTAAGGGATTGAAAAAGGGAAAAGTTTTTCTTAGGGTACGAATAACATACAAAATTGTTAAGTTTTCAATACTAACCATCCCTCATATCAGCGACATCCTGAATATCATGAAGAACAGTCCACTCATTTCTTGATTTCTTGCATGTGTATCGTGCAAGAGTACACCAGCCATGAGGATGAACTTCTAAAGATGAAATACACCAGGGCAAACATTCATCTGGGAAATCTTGAACCATCTCCAGGGCGTTACGCTCCTTACTTGGCCATCGATGACTAGCATAGCTAACGAGTGAAGATTCCGAGGCACTCCAGAATGGATACTCTTCTCCTTCGATGTCATACTGTAAGTAATCAAGGTTTAAATTATGCAGTACCAGTAAGTTTCCAGGAATGGCCGAGATGATCATTTTGGATCCATCGGGGCACAGTTTCATTCGAATTAAATTGGAAAACTGAAGAACAATCTTGTTGTTTTGATTACTCACTCCATCTCCACTGGAGTACCTGTTTATGTCCCATGTCCTCACGGTATCATCGAATGCCGACGTCACAAGAAGGCCGGATGGTCGGTGGTATTCAACACTTTTGACCCAATTCGAGTGCCCTTCTAAGCTAAGAACCTTACTTTTTAGATTCCTAGAGTCCCAAAGAGCTATAGTGGTATCATCAGAACATGTTACAAAGATCCTGGTGTCCAGAAAACGCACACAATTTACGCAATCGCCATGAGCCGACCGTATAGTCTTCACTAACCGTTGGCTAAGAGGATCAAAGAAAAGCAAGCTGTGTTTTTCGCACGCCGCGACAAGAAGATCGCCAGTAGGTGAAAATTCCACATTGAAAATGGCTCCATGTACATCGTCATTTGGTCTATCTTCTGGATCCCAAATCTTCCTTAAGGCAAAATGTTTGTAATATTTTGAAGAAACAATGTCGCTTCGCTCAGCAATCCCGAATAACTCGCGCCGTTTGAGATATGACAACGAAGACCATGTTTGACCATTTTTGCAGCCTTGTTTGTTGCTTTCAGCGGTATCAGGCTTTGATTCTCCCATGCGAGAGATTCAGATGGAACCCCCTTCGAGCCGAGCAACCGATTAAATTTTTGTCATCTTACTCCTTCGAAATTTGCTGCAGGAGGACCGGGGCGAATAAAAACAAACGGTTCCAGTTTCCTCCGGCCCAGACAGAGAAAGAAAAAAAAAAAGAACAAGGGTAGGTGGGTGAGTAGGGACTGACCATGGTACAAACTTTTCAGTTGATATGAATGTTTTTTTTCTAGAAGGTGAAATATGCAACCAAAGACATATTAAAAGTACAATGCATGTATCAAGTTGTGGGAAATGGATTGAAAACATTTGGTCCTTACCATTAATTATTTCTACCTGTGAGAATGACTAGCATCTAATTTCTCCTTACAATATCACCCCTTAATCCAAGGCTGTAGCTGGGAGGGGGGTCCTGGGGTGCCCATGACCTCCCTTAGTATGCAAGCCTTTTTGTCAGACATGGCATGGGGATCAACACGACAATCTGGTGGGCACCCTCTATTTGACACAGTGTGAGTTCCCCTCTTTGAAAAATCCTGGCGACAACTCCAAAATTATACATCAAGGTCAGGAGAGTAAAGGAAATGATATCCAACTCTATAAGGTGTTGATTGTCAAACTGTCAGGGTATAGAGAGGGAAAAGGTAGTTCTATTTCCCCTGAGAGATATCTCTCTTCCTGGCATTAGCAGGTAAAATTCAATTTTTAAATGTTTTTAATTATTTAGAAGAGCATTCTTGCCGAAGGTTGTAAATTTCTGGCTTGAGTCTGCTCATTGTTCCACCCTGCTTGGGCTTATTCCCTTACTGATTCTAAAAAGCAAGCCTTTATTCTTACAATATTTCAATGTTCAAATCCTGAATCCTCTTGAAAAAAATAAAGGGTTGACTCCAAGACAGATTTTTGTCCAAGGGTGTGGAATTAATTGTCAAGTAATGCCATTTCCCTGTACCCAACATCACTAACATTACAAAATGCACTTTATTGCCTATAAATTTCTTTCCATTCAACAAAGAGAAGTCTACAGTTCATTAATAATCAATTTACCATATTTACATGGGTATGATAAAGTTACATTAAATAAAGTATGGAGGTTTTCTGGCAGTTATTCCATATTCACTAAGTGCTGGGGTCAAGTCTTCCATGGTTAATGTATAACGCTTGTCCTGCAAAATACAAACAAATTTTACTCAATTTTCTCAAGAAGTTAATTATGTTTGTTGTGAATTCATCTGTTGTCCAATTAATTACTTGTTGATGAGAAAGATGTATTCACAACCAGATAATGTCAGTCACAAAATCAAGCAAGTTGTGATCCATCAACTGCCTCACAAAAGCCTTCTGCAAGCAGATAAAGGAGTAACACTTTGTATGTTGACTTAATTAGTATGAATAAACTAAGAATAAGTGCATGAATTAAAATTGTTACAGAACTTACTTTGCCAGATTTTCTTGAACTCTGGCCTGACCCCCTCATCTTACAGTGCTGCAGAGCATCATTAGCAATATCTGATATAAACTTCTGTGCAGCAAGAGAAATCATCCTCACTCTGCAGTGAAAGGAAAGTTGCGCTAGTCAATAACCCAGCAGTTAAAGGAATTACAGAGGATGAAGAACACCCAAAAAGATACAAATTAGCAATCATCTACTCCCCTCTGGATAGAATGCTACCTCATCTTTTGTTACCCCCCCCTCCCACATCAACATTTCATCAGATTCTCTAAATGGTTTGCCAGTACCTGCTCATACTCCTGAGTAGAGAGAGAAAGCAAAATTTTTGCCTGAGAACTAAAAGAAGTAACTTCACCAGGTCCCTAATATTTGAAGACTAGAGACAAGCACCCTTATGCGCAATCACCACTTCTACCACTGGTAAATTTTGAGTATGAGTAATACTTTAGTAGAGCATCAGATTGTGAAGTCTCTAGGTCTTTGGTTCAAAACCTGTTTAGTAACTCTTTGTTTTACCTCATTACATGCTGGTGATGAATTAACAACATCTCAGTTCATTCAGACTCAAAATTTATCATCTTTCTTATCCATTTACAAACACAATTCTTGTACTTCTAAAAAGCATCATACCCCCAAGATAACTGATTCCAATTCAACTTACACTCTTGGGTCTGTGGAGTCAAATCCTGCACGATTTAAATAAAATGCTGTTACAGCATCTGGTATCTAAGAAATCATTGAAAAAGAATGCTTTATAACATAAGCTTGGAATTTTTTATCCTGTAGGCCAACTTAGCCTTTCTTTTTGATGAGAGGGGAAGGAATCTGTGGCTAAAAGGTCTGTACGGAAAAATTAGAAGCAAACACTCAGTTCTGCTTGGTTGGTTGAGTGGGAACAGGGGCCATTAAGGTCCGCCTAGTCGGCATGCTTTGAAGAACAAGGCAGAACATAAAAGGATGTATAGTGATTCAATGAAATGTAAATAAGTCGCCCTGTATTCTGTATATGACATTTTGTTCTCTCTATGTAAGACCTGTATGAATTATGTGCGGAAATCTTGCCCCGGATTACCCCTGACCTAAGCCCTTGTTTTGCTCAAAAGAAAATTTGGACAATCACGTCTTATCAACGAAACAGCTAGCTATCAGCTACGCTTCTTGCATTTCTATGTATTTAGACGAAGCCAAGATTCACTAATACAAAAATTCAGTCATTACATTAGACACAAACAAAAACTGAAAAATAATCAGCATAACTATTTAACTTCTATACCGTCGGTGTGTAGTCATCCAACTGGGTTAAAAACTCCGCCAAAGAAGCACCAGCGTTTCTGACTTTAGTATCCACATGGGACACAGTTGCCGCAGCTGTATTAGAAGCTGTGGGTTGACTTGTCGCTGGCTGACTTCCCGAAATTCCGCTTGTATTTGGTTTGTTTTGAACCGAGTTAGGAACTAAATTCTGCGAGCCGTCCGCCATTTTTGGTGCACCTAATAAGCATGCGCTTAAGTGCTTACATGCCAACGCTGTTCAATAGTCACGCAGAATCTATCTTAACAATGGCGGCGATTTTAAAGTTTGAAATAAGTCTGAAATATTTGTTCATTATTCTTCATGCATAATGTTTCCGGAATGACGCAACTACGGAATGAGTTTTCCTGCACTCAAGGAGAGGACAACAAAAAGAACTTGAAAAAGAGAAGGAGCAATATTGAGAATTCCCAGCTGTTCAAGTGATTTCGAAGGCTTTTTCAATGATCATGACGATCCATCCATATTTTTCCGGGTACCTTTATTTCTTCACAGCCTTACAAGGCAGGTGCGCGACAGTCGGCAAAGAAGTTACAGCTCGTTAATTATTTACAATGTTTTTTCTCTCAATAGATCACGTTGGCAACGAGCACTCGTCAGATTAAATATTTTTGGATGAACCTTAAAATTATGCGCAAATCTTTATATTTTAGCTTATGGCTGTTTCGCACTCGATCTGTGTTTTGAGCTGAGAAAGTGTACATGAACCTAGGTCGCACATATGGCTGAAGCTGAACGAGTTCTTATTGCAGCGAAAGACGGAGATCTTCAAACCTTACGGTCGCTCCGTCGATCAGCGCCTTTCGCGGCAGATGGATTTGGAGCGACTGCTCTCCATTACGCAGCAAGAACAGGAAGGATTGATTGCGTAAAATGGCTGGTAGAAACAGCTGGAATTTCTCCCAAAGTCCGCGGAAGAAGCGGAGCGACTCCGTTTCATGACGCTGCGGCTCAGGGGGAGCTAGAGTGTGTGAAATATTTCCTTGCGACTGGCGAGGTTGATGCAGACACTCGAGATGGCTCTGGGCATACTGTACTCCATTTATCGGCGAGATTTGGAAGGTTTGACACTGTCAAGTGGTTGATCGAGAAAGGGAACGGTAATCCCAGGGTTAAGTCAAGGAATTATATGACTCCAGTGCATTTTGCTGCTTGTGGAGGGCATCTGACATGCCTAGAGCTGTTAGTTTTCAAAGCTGGTTACAGGTAGAACGTTCTATGATTTGAGAGTTGAGTCTCATGCTAGATGGCTAGATTATGAATGAATCCTAAGGTCCGGTCAAATGCACGCAACATTTCGATGCAACATCTTGCAACATTCTGAAGGAGCTGGCCAAACACACACAACATCTTTCAATGTTCAAAATGTTGCGAAAAAACTTTGAACATTTTGAAACTTGATCCAACACCATCCAACATTTTGCCACATGGTACTACATGGTATGCAAGCACCTATGTTGCAAGATGTTCCTTTAAATGTTGCATGCATTTGGCCTGGCCTTATAGTGAATGAAGGCCAAAATAAATAAATAAAAGATATTAAATGAAAATCTCAGTTCCCCAGAGGATTTGGACCTCAAACCTTGCATTTGAATTTGTTCCGTCCTGAGCCACAGTGAACAAGTTATTAGGTTACCAGTGTATGTTAAGGGTTCATATCTGACAAAATCATTTCTCTCAGTTAGAATGTGCACCATGATTGGTCAATTAAGTGAATGACATTTCACTATACGGCAGGCTAAATTAGAAGTTGTTAGTGAAAGGGTTCTGGTAAATTGCCTTGCATTTTCCCATGATCAGCAATTCTTGTTATCAAGTATTTTCTATGTAGAAAGAGGCAGAGCAGTAAAGGAAGAAGAATAAGTAGTAAAAGATCTCAAAACCATTCTCATTAGTAATGCACTCAATTTATTTTGTTCTCCATTCTGGCCCCAAGATAGAGAACCCTATCATCATGCTTCTCAAAGTTCTGACTAAAGTCTAGCAGTGTACAAACACTTTCCCATGCTGGATATTCATGAAACTTCTGTTAGCAGTGTTATATGGCCTAACTCAACATTGAGTTAGCTGTAATTTAGTTGATGGAGCATAAAACTGCAAAATCAGAACATTTGAGGATTGAGCCCTCACAGAAGACTCACATTTTTTCCATTTTGTCTCTCTTTAAATTCTTTCATTAATTCAAAGAGTTCAAATTTTATCAAATTTTTATTTCTTTATCACAAGTATAGAAGAGGGTTCAATTCCCACCATTTTTTAGGATAGTTAAAAGTCTATTAAATTCACCACTTTTGTGAGATTTCCTCTAGAAAATGGACATAAGAGTTGTGATCAAACTTTAATATGATGCATTGGTAACTCTTTCAATCTTCAGCTGTGTTAATGATGTTGCCACAGATGGAACAACTCCCTTGTATCTTGCTTCTCAAGACGGTAATCTAGACTGTGTTAAGTACCTGCACAGTGTTGACGGCAAGTGTAATGCCAGAGCCCGGGATGGAATGCTGCCAATTCATGCTGCAGCCCAGAATGGACATCTAGACTGTATAGGATATCTGGTGAGAAAGAAAGAATGGTGTCCTAAAATAATCCTTATCCCTCCAAGCTGTGACCATTTTAGTTTGCATACAGTAGACTGTAGAAAATTAATTTTAATTGGTGACTAAATTTGCTGCAAATGGCCAATCTAATGACCTTTCTGCGGCAGTCATTTAGCAAGCTGTATTTGTTAATTGCCTGTTGTTTTTTGTCCTAAGTCAAAGTGAGATAGACAGTTATGTGAAATACTATTTTAAAAGGCCTTCGACCCCTATAAGCATTTAATTCTCCTTACAATATATCACCCCTGAATTCCATGTTAAGTTAACAAGTTAGAATAAAGGAAATGATCACCAACTAATACAGGTCTTGATTGTTAAACAAATTCTCCTTGTCAGCATCTTAGGAAATTTATGGAGAACATTATGGAGAATATGCATACTGATAATTTTAATGCCTTGCATGCTAACATCAGTATATCTTAAATTTCAAAATGGGATAACTAGAATTTACATAAATTATTGGATTTGAATGAGTAAATTTTGACTGTCCAAGGGACTGGCACCCCTCTTTTTTTTGTACCTATTGATTCAGATTTTACTATAAGGAAAATTGCAGCTACATGTATGATCCTCAACAGATTTCAGTTTTTTGAACTTTCTGTTCTTCTGTATAGATGGAAAAAGGACAGTCCTCTGCAAATGAGAGGGATGGAGCTGGTGCCACACCCGCTCATTATGCTGCCTCACAAGGTACATATGACAAAATTGAAGATGTCTTTTTTCCTCTATAACTTTCCAGAAAATTAGTAGACTTAAATTCATGATTAATCCTTTCACTCCCAGGAGTGACCAAGGATGAATTTCTCCTCACAACATCCATACCATTTCAAGCAGGAAGGTGACGAGAAGTAGAAAAGTTGTCATCTAGGGGAATGTTGTTTGATTGACCAACAAATTCTTGGATCTAAAATTATAAGTGATGACTGACAAACAGTGGTGAGAAAAGTTATTTAGATCTTGGGATTAAAAGGGTCAAATCATGATACCAGTGAGGCTGATAGCACTAGAACGAGGAGACATATTGCTTTGTCCAAATCAACCAGATGTTCAAGGATGTGTTAAACAGTTGCAAAATATTTCTGATAGTATGTGAGCATGCTCTCATTTATATCTACATGGTGTAAGTGTTTCTTTGATTGTTTAACAAGGTTGAATCTTTGAGCAAAGTGACATGGAGAGAGCTCTTTGAAGGGTGTGGCTTTAGACATCTCAAAAGCTCACTTCAAATTTTGTTGCTGATAAAGAAACACCTTTGCCACAGCTCTTACAAAATAAGCATTTCAACAAGAATGGCCTTTCCCTACGTTTAGGCAGTCCCCTGCCATCAGACTTGTGGGTTATTTCTTTCTTGCCCTATACCAAAATTCTTGCAAGGCAAGATTGGCTTGGTCCAGAGGTAATTATTGCGGGGCTAATTTTTTGATCAAAGTTGGAATTCCCCAAATCAAAAATTCCTAAAACCATCTGTGATAATGGGTATTGGTTGGTTGGTGAAATTATAGTGAACTGTTTATAAAAAGAAGTTGAAGACCTTGGGGTACAATTACTGTTCATCTTTTTATTTAGATTTGGACAGGTGTAATGCATTGAAGTCAAAACAGTTGGAGCATACATGTACATGTGCATTTTGGCCTGCATTGATTGTTTTTATGCTGGTTTCATCTAGGTCATGTGACTGTGCTAAAGTGGTTGAATGCCAAAGGTGATGTTACTGCAACAGACCAAATGGGAGGTACTCCTCTTCATGATGCCGCTGAACAGGGACAATTTGAGGTGAGTAACCAGTGTTTTCAACACCATCTGGTGGAAATCTAACATTGATTTTTTGCTTTGAAGAGTAAAAACTTTGTCTTACAAATCTAGGCATTAAACATGTTACTCAATATTTAACTTTGTCTATGTATGCCAGTATGTTCTATTATAAAGAAAAGTTGAGTCCTCTAGGTCTTCTGTAATATGTAATTTATCTTTAAATAACATAGATATCAACAATCCAAAACAAATCCAAAACTGAATCCCATTGGGTAGCAGTATGCTTTTTTTGTTTTATCATACAAGTTGAACTGATTTTATTGGTTTCAAATTGTTTTAATATAAAATAATTCTCTTGGCAGTGCATCAGATATCTTGTAGAAAATGTGGAGTTGAATGTGCAACAGAAAGACAAGGAGGGTATGACTCTATTGACCTTAGCAGAGAAAAATGGACACCGGAGATGTTTAGATTACCTCAAGATTGCAGCATCAAAGGTATTTTATGTAATGAATTTATTTGAAATCTTCATCACAACCGGGAGAAAAGATGGCCTGATGTTTAGTGTGCTGGACTCAGGGTTTAAAGGTGTGGGTTTGAGACTTGGGCGGATCAATGTGTTGTGTTCTAAAATACTTTACTATCACAGTGTCTCTCTCCAACCAGGTCTATTAACTTCTTACTAACCAGGCTTTAGGGCTGTACTGGGGAATATTGACCCAAAGTTGTGGCAGTACAGACCCAGTGCAGTGAGGTCTGTACAAAAATGAACAAGGGCCAATTTCCCCAGTATGGCCAAAGTAATGGAGGTTAGTAAATAATTTGTTATATTGCTACTCAGACCAAACTTGTTCACTGGAGTGCCTCTCTCCTTCATGCTAAGGAAACCGGAATAAGCTTTGGCAGCATTGGTCATTTTGGCTTGAATACAGACTAAACTTTTATCTTACCTTCATTTGATATAATAACCCAGAAAATTGTTATTGCCCTCATAAATTGCAGATCTTAATGTTTCAATGTCCTGAGTGTCATACATTTTACTTCTGCAGTAATAATGCTCAATGTTATACATGTTAACTGGAGTGTTAGAGTGTTTCTTGCAGCAAAATTTCTTCTATTTTCTAAAGCAATCTGTGCTTCTGTGCTCACATTCAGCAGGTCAGATCTCTTTTCATCTGTCTCTAACATTTTTTTTTCTTCTGTCACTTTGCTTTGCCTTTTGGCACTTAGATAATTTCAAAAGCTTTTAAAACTTAAATTTAAACACATTTTTGAACTTTCAACAGATCCCAACGTCTCAACACTAGCACGAAAGCAAACAACATTAGCTGTTAAAGCATGGCAACAAAGTTAAGTTTCTATAATGTTAGGCTTTGATCGTTGTCACAATGAGCATTTTCTATAAGACAATGCCAATCATTTTAAAATATATTTAATAAGTTCACATGGCAACCAGGTGGACAATCAGACACGGTTTGATGCTACTCTGGTTTAAAGATTTAATGAATGTAACCGAGACGTTACAATTCATAGACCCAACATTTCGACACTCCTGCCTAGATGAAGGCACTAGACAGGAGTGTCGAAATGTTGGGTCTATGAATTGTAACGTCTCGGTTACATTCATTAAATCTTTCAACCTGAGTAGCATCAAACCATGTACAATCATTTTGATTTGTGATAATAATTTGATTCACGGCGCACAAGTAGTGCTAAAACTAAATTGCGGTAGATAATTGTTAAATATATGATTTGAAAGGCTATTTTCTGTGGTCACTTATTGGAATTTCACTTGTAAGAACGTTTTCTAGATAGTGATTGGAACTCTTCAGTGCCTCTTAGCTCTTAGTTGTATATTTTTGGTGGCAGTTTCGTTGTACAAAGAAGAGAATTAAGAAAAATTACTAACTGATATAACTATGTTTTAGGAAGAAGGTAACTCTCTATTTATGCCTCACAATTATTATATTAAAACTACAGTTTTCAGTGATAAAAACTCAGTTAAAGCACGTAAGAAAATTATAAAGCATGCTTATTAAATTAATAGAATACAATAAATAAATACATTGGTAACTATTAAATGTGTCATTGGTAAATCGTGAAAACCACGTGAATAAACTTTAAAATCAATGTAGAACGATTTTTAATCAAGGGCTAGAAGTAACACAGATTGCTTTGGGTTTGTGTTACTTGGTTGTGTGACTCAGCGGCATGGTTCAGAAAACTTGTGATATCTTCTTAACCAATCATATGCGAAAATAGAATTAATCATGGCTTGGTTACTCACGTTTTTCCGTCCTTTCGGCATTTTGCTTGTTTTTACTTCAAAATATTGTTGACTTTTCGTGACATTTTGGTTCGTTTCGATTTTCGTGCTCTGCCTACTTTCAACTGCTTTTGGTTTTAAGGCTTGCAGTCGAAAAGCGCACTTACACAAAGTTTAACTGTACTGAAATTTATCAAGGATACAAGCAGGACTTGACGTGATTGACGCTCCTCTTTTTCAGAAGAAAGTTATACTTTTGAAGGTAATTTACTGAAAAAAGAATCCTCATAAACCAAATGAAAACAAGATTACTTTCCCGGCCCCTCCCCCCCCTCCTATGTTATTTTACGAGTAAGAATCCTACTCTTCGTTACTTTTGACAAATGAAAATATCGACCGGTCAGTCTTTCAGGTTAGACTGCAAATTTGGCCGAATCACAGGATGGTGGCTTTTTCTCTTTTTTGCAGTGTGACACCTTTTATAAACCCAACGAACGGGTATCAAACACCTTGTAGTTGGTCTGCCTGTGGCTCACGAAGCCTGAAAAGTGCATAATCTTACCTTAAATACTGTTAAATCGAACAAATGCTGAACAGCGAACATACATAACTTGAAGGAGCTTCAGATAAGTCCCTCGATTTACCTGGTTGTTTTGTTAAATGGCCGCGGTTACGCAATATCCTGTATTTCTACAGGGGAAGATCTTTGAGACACTGAACGAACATCCCCAATATGAATGTAGTTTATTTGATACAAAAAGAAGTTATTTTCTCAGATTTATATATACATTTCAGCTTTCGTCACAAACTTTACCTGGGGCGAGACTGGCTTGAAGTAGTGCTTCTGATTGTTAGTTAATTTTGAACGTTAATCACTTATAACAGTGTGTTTTGCACCAAAGTTAGTGTAACTGACGCGAATCTTCTTTAATTGCTTATTCAACCATTCTTAATTTTACTCGTTGTTTGCCCCAATTGTGAACTGACATTTCTGTTGACTGCGAGTGCTTAAATGTCCAATTTCCAAGAGATTTGTAGAGAAAAAATAAGCAGTATCACACATACTTATGTGGGCAGAAATTTTTTCAGTTCAGTGTTATGTCGCTGTTCTTGTCTGTAGATTAATTTTGTACCATGGAGTGTCTTCTAAAACACCTCTATTCAACTTTGTGCCGGCTGAAAAATGCTCCTGTTACCTTCAATGAAGGAGCTCCTCAACTTAGGCACTCTTTTTTGTAGATCCGAGGGTGCCCCTTAAATTAAGGTTCTTCTGTTCTCAGATACATATTTTCCTTTTTTTTGCAGCAAGCCAAAGCACAAAAGAGACTGACGTATACCAAGGAACGTCAGGCGGTTACAGAGAACCTGACGCCAACGATGAAATATCCAGGGAAAAGTTTAGCATTTCCAACTAAGAGAGAGGCCAGTTTCAAAACTTCATTGGAACCTGGTTTTCATATTAGAGAAAGGCCCGAACGAGCTTCTTTACAACTAAGTATTAACGACAAGAAAAACAAACCTGCAGTTTTAAAAGAAATTATTATACCCCCATCTGTTAACACTAGAGATCTGAATGAGAGCACAGAGCCTTTTCCGCCGCGCACTCAAGCGACGGTTTCTAAAGTCCTTCCTTCGCCGTTTACAAAAAAGCCCGTGAGAGAAAAACAGCCCTTCCTTCACCGCCTTTACTGGATATCCTTCCTCCTCCGCCAGAGTTTTCTGAAGTCACAGGTAAGCTACCATACTATAAGTAAACCAATAATAAAATTGGTTTTCTGCGTGAACGACACAGTGGCCAATTGGTCATTGCGCTGGACTGCCGAACGAGATATCCGGGTTTTAAAGCTCCGGCCAAATTGCTAGTTTGTATCATTTATTTTGGCAAGATGCCCCCCACTCTCACAATGCTCTCCCTACTGAAGAGCATAAATGGTTAGTGTGTGAAAGAAATTCGTGATAAAAAATGCGAGAGAAGGCTAAGAAAATGCCTGGCGCTCACCTGCAATGGAATTGCATTCCACCTGGGGAATCTTGCAATATTCCTTGTTCGTCAATGCTATGAAAAGCGAGCGAGTTGATCGATGCGCATTGGGCTTCTTAGCTCGAGGGCAGACGTAACAGTTACCCGCTTTAAAGAGCAACATTTATTTTAACAGCATTTACTTATTCAATATTTTCTATAGCATCTATCTATTTTCACTCGAAACAGCGTAATAAAGTGTTCGACATCGGTTGATGCTGGAGAACAAGACACTGTTTATTTTGTTAGTACATCTCTGAGTTTCTTCCACCGTAATTATTTCTTTTGGAAATATCACTGTCCACTTGTTCTTTAGTAATAAGAGTGTACACCGGTGTTGGAGTCGAACTTAAATATCTCTAACGAACGCCCTGCAAACTTCACGTTATCCAACGGCTTCGGTTGAATTTACTGAAAATGTATCAATGCAGTTACTGAAGCCGTGCATGGACATCGTTGTTTTAACGATCACAATTTAGCAGTCTCAACTTACAATTTCTCTGAAATTTGTGCCCATTATCCTCAAGAATAGTTTTCGTCAGTATTCATCTTTGGGGGGAGGGGTTAACTGTTTTCATTGCATGCTTGCGTAGCAATATAAGTGCAGCTCAAACCCATTCTCTTTAGAGACAAAAAAGAATTATCCATACCCCAGGAAATAACAATGAATCACCGAAGGCGAAGTGAATATCGTCGAATAATTGTTTCAATATGAAAGCTTTCATCATCAAGAAACTCAGGGGCAACCATTGCTTCTGTATTCTAATCACCTCGTGTAGAGTGCGATATGACGTAATTTTTGAGAATTATTAGCGTATGCATCTCTAAAATCATCTGTCAGTAAGTAATCACACTAAAATGACTTCTCGTGTTTTCTTCCAAATACGTGTAGACATGTTTTCGCTTTCAATTAGCTGGGATTAGTCTCTCTGACGTCACAGTCATTCTTTTATTTTTCTTTAAGGTGAGGAATTATTACAGCCGAAAGAACAAGTGGATTTGAACGAAAATGAAGCCAACAGTGAAATTTCCCACCTATGCGGACCCTTTGAATCTACGTCTGTTGAGTTCAGTGCAAATGTTACAAATCAAGATGACTGCAGCGTTATCGTAAAGGTTGATTCTTTTTCGAACAAGGCCAGCACTTCGAGTCATGCAATCAGCGAGTCTAAAGATGAACACACGAAGACGACTGTTAGAAACGGCATTAGTGGCAAACCAATAGGATACAAGAATCAGAACGAGACTAGCGAAGGCCGCCATGAAGGGAACGTCCAATCATTGCACGAGGAGCTAGTGAATGTGCTGCCGCTGTGGAAGCGACAGATCTTGATGAATCGGGTCATCAAAGAAAAAGCGCGAGAAAGAGTAGAGCGGGAAAAGGTGAGGGCGTAAGGAGTATTCGTTTGGTTATGTCCCTTGTAATGTTCGTATTCAAAAGAATGCATTTACAGGGCGTGAAATTAACTTTTTTTTCTGATAGCCACTTGGCTCCTAAATTCTTCAAAGTGGTAGCCAATTCAAAAAAAGTTGGTCGCCATTTTCAAAGACAAACAAAATCTTTCTTTACGCCGTCAGCGTTCTAGATAGGCCCTCCAAAATTAAGTTAGGGAAAAGATCTTTAACGTGCTACAAAGTGGACACTAGGATGGATGATATACAACGTTCAGGCTCATCTAAATCCAAGATGGCGTTTAGTTATCGATCGAGATGCATGTGCTACGTTTTGGAAACAAACTTAACGAGGAAGTTTGCCGCGGATTTATCTTTGCAAATCTTTTTAATGCACTATATCTCTTGGTAAGGTTATGATGAAACGTTCTAGTCGCCAATTTGGCGACTAACTTTCAGGATGTGGTCGCCAAAGTGAAAAATTTAGTCGCATTGGCGCCTGTATTAGGCGCAATTTCACGCCCTGATTTATGCAATCTCAGAACAAACTTTACATTCCAAAAATTGAAACTTGATTGAGTTGAACGAAGAATTGAAGTAATCAATCAAGTAAGATTCTGTCCAACAACTTTTGGGCCTAATTAATGGCAAAGTTTTCCTATGAAGTATTAATTAGGCCATTTCGGAACAAATCGTTGTCTTCTGTGCAATGATTATGTAAATAGAATTTTTCTTTTATCATGGACCTTGTTAAATGACCAAGCGTGCTACCAGTCTTCTATAGCTGCTCAGAGGTAGAGCATCCGAAGTACTAATCGGTCGGAAGGTTGTAGGTTTGACTCCTATTTGGAGCACTTAGAATTCTTTTCCACCGAGTATGCCTGTCATTCACTGAATAACATCTTTCAAATTGTTGTCTTGTTCCGGAATTATAACATCACGATATTCTTAGGAAATTTTTGGCGTCATGCAAAAATCAGAACTCCGACTGAGGGAAACACCAAAAAAGACCAATTAGGACTGTCCGTGGCTAGGAGTGAAGAAGATTACAACGAATTGCAAAAGACGATTCCGAAAATTATAGGCTTTATCTTGTAGGTTGGAAGAACGGACATTACTGGTTTGACCTTAAGTCGATAGTATGAGTTCTGTTTTTTATTTCAGAGAGAGATTGAGCAAAGAAAGTGGTCTTCTGTACCTTCATGGAAAATTCCTTTAATCAGTAAGAAGGAAGAAGAAAGGTTTGTGAGACATCTTCGTGTTGGGTGTTTTCGTATACTCTATTAAGTGTGTGAACGGGTTTAACTTCAAAACTTTTAAGAATATCGGGAACTGTTTCCTTTGATTCTGCTTCAGCTCACGCTGTGGTTGGCTCAAAAAAATCTTCCGCCCCTCCTTGTGAACCAATCAATTTCAAAACCAAATCCAACTGCAGCTTGGCCATCCGCGTTTTCGCGCGCTTAGAGTGATTACGTGGTCATGTTTCATTACTTCTCCACAGCCGTTAGTTTGACACTACTTTGGATTCTATTGTGACCTACTTAAAACTTTTCTCACTAGTAATGCGTGTGAGAAAATAGCCGATCATGTTTTCCAATTCTACATTTTTTAGGCTTAAGGAAGAGCAGCGTTGGGTTGGCATGCCAGAATGGAAGAAGAACTTACTCAGAAAAAGAGGATCCGGACTAATTTATCGCGACTATCACAAAATAAACGCCCCCTTAAGACGCAGGGTGTCATTCAAGTCACCAGATATCTCTGATGACGAAGAATTTGATGGTGGACCACGAACAAGAGGACTTTCTTCACCTGATTAAAGGCTTTCATCGCAGGCATTTTTTGTTTTTAGTGTCATCATCATCATCATCATCAACATTATTATTTTTGTAATTATCATTGTTATTATTATTACTTTTATTATTATTATTATTATTATTGTTAGTATTGTTATTATTATCATCACAAGCGTTGCCGAGGAGTACATCAAGAATTACAAAGAAAGATATTTAGCTGATGTTCAGAGCGGGATTCCAACCTGATTAAATCACCCGATTTAAGATCCAGCGCGCTCTTTACCCGACCATGCTGCCAGCAATGATCTCAAACCTGGATCACTTTTGGATACAACACCACTTATGTCCACCTTTGTGACATAATTATATATGTTTCGCTAGAAATTTAGTCATGAGGACACTTTTTGATGTCTTTTGTGCAGAAAATAAATCTCATCGGTGGTCAATCCTGGACATGTTCTACAACATTTGAATGTTAAGTTTGCCCATCATTCGCTCAAAGATTTGTCATAATTTTTAAATTTCTGTTATTTGCAATTTGTGGTAATTTTCGCCGTCTTCAATAACTCTCCTGTCTCTTGTATGTTGGCCTCTTGTTTAATTAGTTTTATTTGACAGTTACAATGTATTTTCAGATGGTTCTTCAAGTAGAGAGCAAAACTTCATCAATGTACACTGGGCTCGGGCAAGGCTATTAAGAGATTTGTACGTAATCAAAAGTAACTTAAAATTATTCTGTCATTAACAGGAAGCCAGGAGTAATGTGATTAGTCTTCTTCATGCACACAGTTAAACTTGTCGCGGTATTTTGCAATCTCTGAATTTTCCCAGTTTCACGGACGCCACAAGACGTATCTTGGTCGAGAAAGAATCTTATCGAGGGCAATGCATTGAGGAAGATCTTTAATGTATGATTCAATCCAACGAAGAACCGTTTTGCAAAAACACAGCGTTCCCGAAGCCTATCGAGAAGGATAGCGTGGTTTGTTGTGTCAAGAGCCGCAGATAAGTCTAACAACACTAGAGCAGCTTCGCATTTGTTGTCAATGGCCAGGGCCCAGTTGTATAAAGGGTGGATAACGTTATCCAACGGATAAATCGCTGTCCAGCGGATAAGTGATAGCAAAACGTATAGCGTTATCCACCGGATAGAGATTTATCCAATGGATAGTGCTATCCGATCTTCGAACAACCGGGGCCAGAGGTATATCATTACCAACTCGTAAAAGGGCAGTTTCAGTACTGTGATGCTTTCTGTATGCTGATTGCATTTTAGTAAATAAGCCATTGGTGGTGAATTATCCCTCAATCTGGAAAGCCACTCTTCTTTCTAATGCCCCAGAGAGAAACGATAGATTAGAGATGGATGAATATTTGGCAAAGACATCAGCATCAAGGTTGTCCTTTTTTATCAGAGGGAAAATTAGTGACTTCTTGAGGAAAGAGGGGAAAATGCACTGATCCTAAGACGCGTTCATGATATCAGTTAGAGTGGGCAATAACATCAATACAGTCCTTTAACAACCAAGTATGTATTGGATCGAGAGCACAACTTTTACTTTTTGATGACTGAATGATAGTCTTGAGACTATTAAGAGAGACGTGTTCAAACTGACTGAAAGAGGTGGAGCACGATACATTAGTCACACATTTAGGCCGAGAGGAAGGTTGTTGAGAGAGAACGTCTGATATCAATGATTTTAGATTCGAAGAAGTCGCCAAAACTCTCAACTAGGTGTTCAAGAGAGTCATGTGTCGTTAGAGTTGGAAACGACTTTACGCTGAAGGTACTATCAACGAGCTTGAAGACCTGCTTCATATTAGACGTATACAATATACGTCTAGACGTATTAGACGTACCATGTATAAAGTTTGTTATTGGGTTAACTAAGTCGCTTCTGTAAATTTCTGCTTACGTCAGAAAGTTTTAAGGACTCTGCGTAAACACGAAGAACTATTAAGCAAGACTGACTTTGATGCTGACGCCGTAAGGGAAAGTACCACCACTGCATCAAAAAGGCACATAGTGATCGATTCTGAAAATGTAATCGGTTCCAATCGTCAGCACTGAACGAAAGGCCGGTTTCACCCACAGCCAATATTGGATATAGAGGACACTGCCTTCTGGTCCGGTACTGCCGTATGACCTAAGCGCGTCACTTAAAATTCCAGCTAGTGTTGCATCGAGAGAATCTTGTTCAGTTGTAACGTCCTTTGGGTTTTCTGTCTGCGACATAGTGTGTGCGCCTTCATAGCATCTTAGGAAACTCCTACCTACAAGAACCTGGTAGGTCTCTTGAAGTCAAGTTATGGTGGGATCAATCGCACTTTGGATCAGTTTTGACATATTTACTAACTTACCGTGATGAAAAGCTACAAATCAAACAGATCATTCCTACACGTAAGACGCTGAACAAGAAGAGGAAATGGGAGCGGTTAGTGTCTAATAACATCACAAATAACTGATCATGTGACCAAAGCAAGTCCTTTGATTGGTTCTCAGTTGAGCAATGTTACGTTTACTTCATAGTCGATCGACTGCACCCTCACATTAAAGTGAGAGTGAACACAATGAGTCTGTTTGCATTAATTGGCTATCTTTCCTTTAATGAAGCCTGAAGGAAATCCTTCCTTTCCAGTGGTATTGAACAAGCCTGCAAGCAGCTTTAGTAGCAGCCGTAATGTTCCCTTTTGCCTCTGTATGGTTCTTTATCCGCATGAGGTCTGGTAAGGAGTGGTAGGTCTATCTTGATGACGTCATGTCGCATAGCAGTAGCCAGGTTTGGTCGAGCGAAATTAGTCTTCTGATTAGATGAGATATCGCTGTGTTACAGAACGGTTGACCAGACGGAACTTATCCCCGGTTTTTTTACGTTTCACTTTTGAGAAAAATTTCTTGTCATCAATTTGGGGCTGGCACAACAAAAATGATGTCAAAAGAGTCATGTTATCGTCTCTAAAACGGACTTTCCTCTGACAGCATTATGTCATCAATGGCCTCATTTTTTATCAAGAAATATCTAAAAATTACATATGCGAGAGCCTCGCATTGTACTAAGCCCTTTTCCGCACCATTTCCGCCATATCCAAAAGAGAAAGGAAAAACCCCAGGTTGGAAACGAGGCAATAACTCTATGGCCATGCAGCCACCCCCTCTGATGTCATGTCCGGAAACGACAAGTTGTTTCTCGGAAATGATTATTGCTTCCACGACCCTGAAGGGTTCAATAAATCAGTCTGAAGTCAAACTATTTTTAGAGAGTTGTTCACTAATTCTAACATATGTTAACAGTGTGCTTTGCAATATCATGTCCAATATGGGAAAGCATTCGTTCACTTTTGGACAGCGTCCCACAAAATGCAAGCGGAGAATGAAGCAGTGATACGCAGTCAAACTTTATGTAACTCTTTCGTGTCGTAGTGCGTTTATAATATTTTTTCGCATGGAGGCACATTACTTTATTACAATTTTCGTCTCAGAATGTTATCATGACTGTACAAAAATCAAACATCGAAACGATTGAAACAAACGCCTCAGTGAGCTGGAGACCAGTTTACTCTCGCAAATGGACATATGATAAATTTATTAACTAATAAGGAGTTCTGAAAGAAGCTGTTCTGCGCCGCTGGTGGTAAGTAGAGCGCATGTTTCGTTTCATGTTATGTTAAAAGTAAACTGCTTTGCCGAATTTAGAAGTTTAGGCTCTCATTTGAAAGAAGTTTCAGCCCTTGCGTTAGGAGGAACAAGTGGCAAATCATAGGGACTTAGCAGACTAAAAAACACAATTAGATGTATATGCTACGAAGCTGGGCGAAGCCAAAGAGAAAACGGAAGTCAATCAAACACTTGCCGCTTGCATTTCGTGTTCCTTGTTCTTTATTTATAGAAAGAAATTACGTCCATAGACCTTTTTCATTTATCATAGGCAACGCTAACATGAGTAATAACGTTGAGAGACAGAACATCATAGTACTTTAGCATTTTAAGATGTCTGATCATGAACTGGTTTGCTCCAGAGAGCTAACTGTAAATAACGTAAGCAAATTATAGTCGTAAAATAAGTGTAACATTTAATCAGGCTACTCATCAAAACTTAGGAAATGATTAAAACGTTGTTTCGAGTACACTTACAAACGTGAATGGCTTCAGAGTCTTGTCTGCGTATCTATAGAATGTCTGACATCAGTGCTTTCCGCAATCTAGTCTTGGCCGCCTAAATCTTTTCTCCGTGAGGTCGCCGAAGTGTCTCTTTTCGTGATCCTAATTTCATTTAATTCTCAATTTCTGATCCGACAACGCTGATTACCTTTCTTCCTTGGAACTCTTACAGCAATGCAGTGAGTTATACTGGCTTTCAGAAATAGTGAAGCTCAGTCTACAATAGCAACTCCAGCGATGGAAGTCATCTCGAAGTGTCAGTCCGTCACAGAGAAATTTGGTAAAAGATGTGGGCCGCAATTCTTTCATTTCAGATATCTCGCACTAGACGCCAGGTTTGGAAGCTACTACGAACAGTGCTTTAGCTCTATTTGAATTGCTTACCGTCCTATACCTAAATAAAAACTATTAATCACAAGTAAATTTGTAAAGTGGAACTCTTCGATCTACAGTCTGCATAAAATCATCTAGAGTTTGTTATTGGGTTAACTAAGTCGCTTGTGTAAAGTGCCGCTAACGTTAATTAGGTCTACGAGCTCCTTGTTTGGTCGGTAATCGGTGCAAAGAAGAAGAATTATCAAGCAAGGCTGACTTTGATGCTGACACCGTAGGAGAAAGTACCACCACCGCACTGAAAAGGCAAACAGTGTTCGATTTTAAAATTGTAATTGTTTCCCTGTGACAAATCTGAACTAAAGGCCGGTTCGACCCACAGCCAATACTCGGTATAGCGGAAACTGTCTTTTGGTCCGGTGATTCCTTTCCGCACTTCACTACCGTATTTCTGAAGCACGTCTCTTGAAATTCCAGCCAGTGTTGTATCGAGAGAATCTTTTACAATTATAACGTCCCTTACGTTTCCTGTTTGCGGCATGGGCAATTCTCCATTGTAGTTTCCTTGAAAAGTCTTACCTACAAGACCCTTGTAGGTCGCCTTCAGCCAGGTTATGGTGGGATCGACCTGATTTGCCATATTTCCTTGATCAAAAGCTACGAATCAAACAGATTATTCCTACACGTAAGATACTGAACAAGAAGTTGGGAGCGGTTGGCGTCTAAGAACATAGCAAATAACGGATCCTGTGACCAAAGCAAGTCCTTTGATTGGTTCTCACTTGAGCAATGTTTTATTTAATTCATAACCGATCGACCGCAACCTCACATTGAAGTGAGAGTGAACACAATGAATCTGTTTGCACAAATAGGTTATGTTTCCTTTAAGGAAGCCTAGAGGAAATCCTTCCTTTCCAGTAGTCTTGAACAAGCCTGCAAGCAACTTTAATAGTAACCGTAATGTTCTCATTTGCCTCTTTATGGTTCTTTATCCGCGTGAGGTTTAGTAACGGGTGGTAGGTCTATCTCGATGACGTCATGTCGCATAGCAGTACCCAGGTTTGGTCGAGCGAAATTAGTCTTCTGATTAGATGAGACATCGCCGTGTTACAGATTAACTTGACGGGTTTTGGATAATTTTTGAGAATGATTTCTTGTCATCAATTTGGGGCTGGCACAACAAAATTTATGTCAAAAGAGTCATGTTATCGTGTCTGAATTGAACTTTCTTTCTTTAATTTGACAGCATTATGTCATCAATTGCCTCAATTTTTTTATCAAAAAATATCTAAAAATTGCATATGTGAGAGCCCAGCATTGTACTCAGCCCTTTTCCGCACCACTTCCGCCATATCCAAAAGAGAAAGGTAAAACCTCAGATTGGAAACTCTATGGCCATGCAGCCACCCCCTCTGATGTCATGTCCGGAAACGACAAGTTGTTTCTCGGAAAACATTATTACTTCCACGACCCTGAAGAGTTCAATGAATCAGTCTGAAGTCAAACTATTTTTAGAGCGTTGTTCACTAATTCTAACATATGATAACAGTGTGCTTTGCAATATCATGTCCAATATGGAAAAGTATTCGTTCACAGCGTCCCACAAAATGCAAGCGGAGAATGAAGCAGTGATATGCAGTCAAACTTTATGTCCTGATGCGTTTCTAATCATTGTCCGCATGAAGGCACATTACTTCATGACAATTTTCATCTCAGAAGGTTATCATTACTGTACAGAAATCAAGCGCTGAAACTATTGAAAAAAACGCTGCAGTGAGTTTGAGACCAGTTTACCCTCGAAAATGGACATATGATAAATTTATTAACCAATAAAGAGCTCTTAATGAAGCTGTTGTGCGCTGTTAGTGGTAGGTAGAGCACATGATTCAATTCAAGTTTTATTTGTTCACATCAGACGGTTATTACTAGGCTGGCTTGCAAATAGCGAAGAGCTAATCGCGGCAAGCCAGACAGTTGACAAATAATTTTACACAATTTTATACACCAAATATTCACATACAATTACAACATGTAGACATTAATCTTCGTGCTTATAAACATCTTGGTATTAGGATAATATGTAAAGATGAAAACTACAGACTAAACATAATTACAGTTAGTAATTGATCTTTAATCTTATAAATTAGAGTATCTATGTCGACATAGGAATTTCCAGTTTCTAGAATTTCGATTAATTTTGTTCTAATGGATTTTTTAAAAGAGTTCTTGGATGAGTTTCTGTTGTTGTTTTTTTAATTAACGTAGAGTTCATATTATGTTATGAGTAAACTACTATGCCGAGCTCAGGAATTAGGCTCTCATTCGAAAGATGTTTCAACCCTTGCGTTAAAGCAAATAACTAGCAAAGCATAGGGACATTGAAGACTAAAAACCACAAATAGATGTAAATGTTACGAAGTTGGACGTGGCCCAAGAGAAAACGGAAGTCACTCAAACACTTGCCGCTCGCATTTAGTGTTCCTTGTTCTTTATTTATGGAAAGAAACTGTGTCTATATACCTTTTCCATTTATCACAGGCAACGCTAACATAATTAACAAGGTGAAAAGAGAGAATATTATAGAACTTTAACAGCTTAAGATGTCTGATCATGAACTGGTTTGCACCAGAGAACTAACTGTAAACAACGTAACCAAATTATAGTCGTAAAATAAGTGTAACATTTAATCAGTTTACTCACCAAAACTTAGGAAATAATTAAAACGTTGTTACGTGTACACTTACAATTAAATGCGAATGGCTTCAGAGAGTCTTGGCTGTGTATGTTTAGAATGTCTGACTTAAGTTCTTTCCGCAATCCAGTCTCGGCTTCTGAAATCTCTTCACCACGAGGTCGCTAAAATGTCTCTTTTCAGTGATCCTACTTTTACTTAATTCTCAAATTCTGAATCGAAAGCGCTGATTATCTTTCATCCTTGGAACTCTTACAGAAATACAGCGAGTTACACTGGCTTTCAGCAAAACAGCGAAGCTAGGTCTACAATAGCAACTTCAGCCATGGTTATCATCTCGAAGTGTTAGTCCGCCAAAGTAAAATTTGGAAGAAAATGCGGGCCACAATTCTTTGATTTTAGATATCTCATACTAGACGACAGATTTGGAAGCCTCTAAATACAGTGCTTTAACTCTATTTGCTTACTGTTCTATATCTTAATAAAAACTATTCATCAAAAGTAAATTTGTGGAGTTGAACTCTTCTACAGTCTGCATAAAATCATATGAAGTTTGTCATTGGGTTAACTAACTCACGTTAATTAGTTCTAGGAGTTCCTTGTTTGGTCGGTAATATGTGAAGAACTCTCAACACGGCTGATTTTGACGCTGACGCCAGAGGAGAAGGTACCATAACTGCATTGAAAGGGCACACAGCGATCGATTCTGAAATTGTAATCTTTTCCAATCGTCAGCTTTGAACCAGAAACCCGTTCGACCCACAGCCAATACTTTTTATAGCGTCTACTGTCTTCTGGTCCAGTAATTCCTTTCCAAACTGTGTCACCGTATTCCTGAAGCACGTCACTTGAAATTCCAGCCAGCGTTTCATCGAGGGAATCTTGTACAATTATAACATCCCTTGAGTTTTCTGTCTGCGGCAGAGTGTGTTCACCGTCATAGCATCCTAGGAAACTCATACCTTCAAGAACCTTATATTTCGCTTTCAGCCAGCTTATGGGATCAGTCGTATTTTGGACCGGTTTTGACATATTTACTTAATAAAAAGCTATGATTAAAAAAGATTGTTCGAATACGTAGAACGCTGATCAAAGAGGAATTCGGGAGCGTGCTTAGCGTTTAAGAAAAAAATTTTTTTATCTACTGATCATGTGACCTAATTCGAGTCCTATGATTGGTTCTCAACTGAGCCTTATTGTGTTCTAATCCTAGTCGACCACACCCTTGCAATTAAATGTGGGAATTCACAAAAAATTGTTTGCATTAATTAGCTATAATTCCTCAAGGGAGCCTAAAGAAACTTTTCCCCTTCAGCACTCTTGAATGAGCGTGTGAGCAGCTTATTGGCTGAGTGTTTTCTCTTGCCTCTTTGTCTGCGTGAGGTCTGGTAAGAGGTGCGAAGCCCTCCCGATCACCTAATGTCGCATAATAGAACCCAGATTTGACCGAGCCAATAAAGTTTAGGTACGGATTAGATCGGGTTAGGGGAGGAGTAGGCGCACAGTTGCTTTGATACTGGCATCGATCCGATTATTTTCGCTGTGGATCCTCGGGAAAAAATGGCGCATTCTTCTGCTTGGGTACAGCTTCCATTTGAAAGCGACGATTATTGGCAACTTTCCCAATATCAGCAGCCGATATGGCACGCATTGTTCTTATATAATGAAATTTTTATATAATTCAGTGTTATTATATAATGAACTTCTTTGGGTAAAATCTAGCCTGCGATGAGCGGTGAAGACGTGTGTTGGAAAATCTCCATGATGCTTCAAAGCACCCACAAAACCGCTTGTTACGCAGGCTAAATAAAATCATTATTTTATTACATCCTTAGGATTAAAGCATTTGACAAAGTTGAACCAAGAAGGCAGGTAAACGTAAATTTTAATATCTACAACGATCTTTAAATACAAAATTATAGCAAAGTCAGCAAAAAAATTATCAGCCACAATCCAGGTTCCTGTGAAAGTTTTCCCTAGATGACGTCATTCATCTGCAGGTGAACACAGAATCTCTTTGCTGTCTCTACGTTTCTGCTTGTCATACCAGTGGAACCAGATTGACAAGCATTTACCTGAGGATCAAACAGAAACAAAACAGAACAAAGAAAAGTGAATTACCTTTATATTTGCATTAAAAACCGTAGCTACACTAATATCCCATTCACACCAAATCTTAAACCAGATTTAATGCTGTGTTGTTGAACTGAGTTTAAAATTTTAATTCAAATTCAGCACATTGAAAATGAAATTGAGTTGGTTACTTCTTGGATCCTATGGAAAATTCAGCTTTTCAATTCTCTGTTTGGGTTTCATTCCATTATTCACCAGGTTTAACTAAACATACTTTGGTACTCTGATTGGGGTACCAGACTTACAGAACAATGAACACATGATTTATTTTTCTGAAGCAAGGAAAAGTCTGACTATCATATGGATGAAAAAGTTTTTCTTTACAGAGAATTCATCTCAAAATTCTAGATTAATTTACCATGACAAGCATACAAAGAAGTAGGGAATAAGGAAGAATTAATTTTTATTGCATGGTACACAACTGTGAAGATCAGCGATCCTTAAAAACCATGCCTCTTGCTATCTTTCTGCTTTGCAATTGAATGTATCATCCTTTCTTCCTACTGAAGCTGGACCTGTATTTTTCAGATTTTTAAGGACAGTATCATATGAACCCTTTCACCATCAGATCTCATAAATAATTCTCCTTACTGTCTGTCATACAATTCTCATAATGTTAGTTTGGAGAATTTGGTATTGGATCAACTAACAATTGCCCAACTGATATTTCTCTTTATTCTTATCACTTGTCTTCTTGACATTGCATTGGTATTGTAAGGAGAAATTCTGTCTTGGTCACCCCTGGGATGTTAAAGGGTTCATTAATCATTCAACAACAATTAGTTAATTGATTAATATTCAAAAATTGATCGAGAAATGGAAGGAATTTGTAATTCATGCACAGTACCTTCCTCATCCACCCATGGGAGGACCTGGATTGTAAGGAGCACCTGTTAAAAGAGAGTGACTCTTAAAAGAGAGCAACTCATTAAAATTTAACCCTCTTATTCTTAAGATCACATTGGCAATTCTCTTTACTGTCTGCCATACAATTCTTGTGATGTTAATTAAGAGAATTTGGTATTGGATCAACTAATAATCCCCTGATAAATATTTTTCTTTATTCTCATCACTTGTCTGCTTGACACTATCATGATATTGTAAGGAAAATTCTGCCCTGGTTACTTGTAAGAGTTAAAGGCTAAAGCAAATGATTATACAAAGGGATAAGAACATTTCCCAGTTCTAACAAGAGCATTGTGCTGGGAACTGGTTGGTCACCAGACTCAACTGAATAAAGATTTAAATGGCTAAAATAATTCTAACATACATGCATAGATGTACAATAGTCTCTATTTGGCACAAAAATATGTGCGGATATTTGTTTGTGCACATTATCTCCTCGAAGATACAAACAGTTTTCTGAGAGTGAAGCTCTTGGAAAACTGTGAGGTTCTAGGAACAGATAATGTCCAAGGAAAGATACCCCATACATATTTTTGCGCAAAATAGAGACTATTGTGATCATTACCCTTCAAATATTTGTGTAAAAATGTTTGCAGTGTGGGATGTTTTCTTTTGACTGTTCTCTGATATTACTTAATGAACAAAAAAAAGATTTCCCTTCCTCCTTAACAGCCACAAAACCCTCTCTTATCTCAAATTAAATTTGAAATGAAGACTTAATGTAGTGGACATAAGGTTTAAAAATTGGGGAATATAGCTTTGGTGATATTGGACTTGGCGTGTGACTTGCCTCAGTCAAACCTGGGTTCACCCCGTTTAAGCTGGGAGATATTTGGTCACACACTGCATTTTGACTAGTTGTGCACAAGCAAAAATATTTGATGGACCATAACATATTTCATTACCTCCACCTCCTCTACCAATTCTTCCATATCTTCTACCAGGTGGTCTTGGAGGTCTAAAATGAAAATTTAAAATTCGATCACAACAACCACAATCTTGCATCTTGCAGGGCTGTGAATTTTTCCCAGGCCTGCTTGCCCCATCACCTCCACCCTTATAATGGAATTTTTCTATCATGTTTTTTTAATCAGAGATTTAATTTTGATTGTGGAAAAGGTAAAGGCAAAGTCTCTACTCAAGCAAAATGACCCAGCCGGCCAGAACTTATCTTGGTATCGATAGCATGAAGCAACTGGGGGTACCACTGCTCCCCCCTGGATGTTAGTCCATCACAAGGTTATGCCCCCCCCCTTCCTCCTACATTTCATCAGGTTTCTCTGACAATTTGCCAGTACCCATTTATACTACTGGTTGGAGAGAGGCACTCTGAAGGTAAACTTTTTTGTCGGAGGACACAACACTTTGACTTGGCCAGGTCTTGAACACAGAATTCTCGACTCAGAGTCCAATGCACCAATCACTGGTCCATCCTTCTCCCATGAATGTGCAGAAGAGGCAGTTTTATTCTCCACAGTATTTTTATGTCAGTTAAGCCTTAGCAGTTTCAATAGCTCTAACCCATCATTATATTGTCTAAGGAAAGTTCACTGCCAAGTCTTGCTGGCACCGAAATTTTCATGAATCTTTGCCACTATCTTGTTGCTGTTTAGAGCTAGTTATTCTATTGATTTCCCTCTTTAGAGAATAATTTCCAATTAAAATTCACCAGTCCCTATCTTGAAAGCAAAGTTCAGGGTGAAATTGGGCATTTTCAAGCCAAACTTGCATAAGACTTACTTAGCCATCACACACCTCTGGTCACACAAGCAAATAAGGACATTTAAAGAAACATTGTTAAAAACAAACAAACTCACCCTCCACCAGGTCTGTACTCTGAATTAGAATATGAGTTACCACGTTTTGTAAGTCCAGGCTGAAAACATAACACATTTCAACTATAAGCACTTTGTATTACCAGTGTGTTTCAATATTTTTTGCCTTTGATCTCATTAACATTTTAAGAAGGTAATATTGTACAATTTTGTCTAAAATTATATGCATGATTTCAAAATCAAACAAGTGCACAGCAGTACTAAGCCAGTTTGTAAAGCGAAGTGGAACTTAGAATAGAAATATCAAATGACAAAAAGTTTTTGGAACAAAAGTAGTAAAAATTTGCTTCTTTGTCTTTTTTCCACTAAAGATTGGTTGGTTACTTTAAACAAGCCTTGGAATCTGATTGGTTATTTTGTTGTAATGTTGCTCTCATTAGCTGAGAAAAATGCGATTTAGAGCAAAAAATAGCATGATTTGTGAATAGACCACACTGCTGAGAGTCAATCAGATTACAAGGATGCCAGTGGTTTCAAAACATATGATACAAAGTTAAAAATCCACTACTAATGAAAGAAACAGCTACATATTTGAGGAGCTAGTGAATTGTGATGCACAAATGATTTCCATTATCACTTCCTGTTTCGCTATGTAACACTGACAGCTCCACACCACAGTGGATTAAAACATCAAGTGTAGCTAAACATCAATCGCAAGTGCTGGTAGATTTAATTGTCTTCGATGTTTTAGGCATCAAATTTAAGTAAATTGTAGAAAAATCCCAACTATAGCATGATTTAATCAATTCAACTTATTCTTAACACGACATTTGTGATGCCTACTTAGACCAGATCATAAAATGGCGAAGGATGATGCTTTTAAGCATAAAAAATACTCACCGAAAACATGGTGTGGAAGCTGTTTGCACATTGAAGACAAAAGGGAAGAAAGAAAAAAAACGTTAGAACCGCAGATCGCAGAAACGTTATGGTTTTACGTGTAATGTCCACAAAGGAAAATCATATCATCTGCTTACAATAAAATGACGAAGTTGATAATTCCCCAGAAGACGTCGGAGAATATGGATAATCTCCATATCGATCTTCTCTCTAAGACGTTACCTAGAAATCGGAGGACAAAAGAGTTACAATACATAAAATATAACAACCATTTTTGATTTCCAAAGTTCGCTTACTTCCAGAAACGTACACCATTTTGGTGAATCAGTTTTTATTTTGATTGCGCAAGGCTTGGATCGAGCCTCTTTTCGATGATCACCGAGCTGGAATCTGAGCACTAAGGTGTCCGATTACTATAGCAACAAGAGTTAGTTGCAAAATGGCGGTACATTTCAGTGTGTTTGTAGTAGAATTTTGAATTTCTTTTCCCTCGTCAGAAAGTCTATAATTTAGCCTTAGGACTACATAGTAAGCTTCCAGAATTATGGGGAAGAAGAAGGCGAAAGAACCAGAAACTCCAGCTAAAGACGAGGTGGGTTATTTTGCATAAAAGCGAACACGAAATTCACCAATCGATGTATTGGAAAAAGTTGACTTCATGAACTTATGGGAAACTTAAGAATTTTTTTAAATAATCCATGGTATCTGCGGTATCCGCGATCAAATAACAGGGCCTAGTACCGAGAGGGTTCTTTAATCCGAAATTTTCCAGCTGTTGTGAAGGACTATTTTGGTAAACGCGTGCATTATGGTCCATTTTAGTCAGGTATACTACTCAAACATAAGCGAAGTGGAAGTCTACTTCGACTCTATTTTCCACGATTGTCAGAGTGACACAAATTTGAGTTATTATTCGAGTTTAATTTCTCTCTTCATCCAAACTTGTTACGAACGTGGCGTTTAGATGGAAGGCGTTGTTTGTTAAACAAATTTTCCCTTCGAATTCGTGGACTGTACGTGTACAAATTTTATTTCTGAGCGCTGTGTCGGTATTTCCAAAAATGCGAATGCTTGTTATATTGTACTGATTCAAAACTGTAAGTTGTGAAGACTTTATTTTTGTTCTCATCAACAGCACCTCAGAAATTGACTTAAAATCTAGCTGAAAGCGTAAAGTGTAGCTCTAATTACTTAAGTTTCTTAAGTTTTCCATTTATTTGGTTTTAGTTTTCTGTATCATGCATTAATTCATATTTGTATGATTTATACTCTTCATTATTAGCTAGTGTTAACAAATGTTCACACTTTCTCATCATATTCAAGTCGCACATCAACTGTTGTAAATGTTTTGATTGGTTTATTAATACATAATTATGCAGGCAGTAGATTACTGCAACCCAAGTGGTGATAATTAACATCTAAGTTTTATTTGTTTGGGTACTATTTTGAAGTGGTTAGAAAACTTAATGATATAGGTACTGGATAGCCTCGAAGCTATTTATCAGTGAGATTAAATTAGAACTCTTCTCTGAAATTTGAATATTTACGAGGTTATGTTACAATTTGATACTGATTGTTTGAATAGCTTATCAACTCATATTAAACTGTAAATTTTGCAAAGCTCTTTAAAATTTTTTGGATAGAAACTACTTGTCACATTTTCAATAGATACCCCTCTTAACCCTTTGACTTCCATAGACATGATAAACATGTAACTTCTCCCTATAATATCCATACATTATCCAGAAAACATGTAATGAGAATACTAAAACTTATCAGGTAAAAGTTGTTATTTTGATCTTACACCAAGTTCTTGTAACCAATTTACAATGAAATGTGTAGCAACTAGAGGGGAGATTTAACAATCAGATCTTTGGAGTTAAAATGTTAAAACTTGTTTTGCTGTTGACAGGAATTATTGATGAATGTGCTTGTTTCTATATGACAGTTTGACCCTTTGGAACTTGTCAGCAAGAAGCCCCACACAGTTGTTCTGATGCTAGACTCTCCAGAGGAACAAGTTCTTCAATCAGCTTGTGAAGCACTGCACAAGTTTGCAGAAAAGTGTTAGTGTTCTTTATTTGCTATTTACTTTCCTCCAACAGAACACTGCGACAGAAAAGTATTAAACTTTAGAGTGATTTCTTTTAATTTATAATTTTGATTGCTGACAATACACATGCCTTCAGTGCTTAATTTGCCACTGAAACTACATGTAGCCTAAAGTTTTGGTTACTTAATTAACATGTCTATAATTTGGGATTAAAATTGGGGGGTTTAACCATATCTTACGTGGATGGGTGGAAGATGTGGTAGCTAAATCGTTATAGTACCCTGTGGTTTGTGTGTAGAGATGTCCAGGTGCGAGACCTGATGGGGTAAATGTGTTGTAACACTTTACTTATAACAGTGCCTCTCTCCACCCAGGAGTAAAAATGGATACTGGTGAATTGTCAGGAAAACGTGATTAAATGCTAGGGAGGGGAAATCTTGTGATAAACAAGCATCCCATCCAGGGGGAGAGTAGTAATACTCCTAGTTGCTTCATGTAATTAGGAAACCAGGATCGGTTCTGGCTGGTTGCACCTTTTGAGTACAGTACAGAATTTCTTTTATGGGGGTGAGACTACATTTATTAGGTTGGTAAATTAAGAATTCAAAGGAGTAATTTGTATATATGACACTTACATGTATGTGGAGATCAGGCATACATAGACAGCCCTGGAGTAACTGATTGATAGAGGGATTGGTGTTCTCTTTTAATAGCTGGCCAGTGGTTAGCTATCAACCAGCTGATGGTGGAACAGCACCAAGAATAAAATTTGGGCTAATGTTTGGGCTGAAACTTCTACTTGAGTACAGTGATATTGAAGACTTTGCCCTAGTACTGGTTGGGTTTTGGTTGATTCCTTTTAATACAGTTAATTCCCCTATTCTAAAAGCTGCAGTATACTGAGATGCAAATTACATTCTTTAATGGTTGTGCAGGTGATGAGAACAGACAGGAATTGTTGAACCTGGGGGCCTTAGAACCTTTGAAGACAAAGTGGTGAACAAATCATGTCTGAAGAACAAAAAAGTGGTTTCTCATTCAAGTTTAAGAATCATGAAATGCTTTCAGCATGTGTTACCATGTTTATTATATAATTAGCCTTGGGACCATGGCTTTTGAAACTGAATTTGTGTAAAAATTATTGTCTGAAGCCTGAACAGAAAAAGTCTTTCTCTATTCAAGAATAATAGATAGATACCAGTCTCTGAATCATAATTTTTTTTTCATATTTCCAATTTATTGCCCAAGCTCAAAGCTTGCATGTTGTTAATCTGAGTGGAAAAAAAAATGTTACTTGTTAAATTTCCATATGATTTTTCCCACTAATGTGTTAACATTTTAAGCTGGCACGATCAATGAAAGGGTAAAGAGTGTTTTTGGATTATTGGATGCTGACTGTGTAAAATTTGTGTGAATATTAAAAACTTGATTTGTTTTCAGCAAATGTCAAAAAAGAACTTCGTAAGCTGTCTAGTATTCAGCCTTTGGTCACATTATTGGGACCTGATGGTGAGTTTGAAATAATTAATTAAAATAAAACTTAAATCTGAAATGACAAATTTGGATTTATAACCATGTTAAAGGGCAATTGATGTTTATTCATTAGGTAAATAGAGCTAGAATTATTTTCCACATTTCTGAAATATTTTTATCATTGACAATCACTTATTTTTATAATTTTGCAGAGGATGTTTTGTGCCACGAATTTGCAAGTTTGGCTCTTGTATCAATGGCAGGTAATTATATACTACATACAGTAATTTGGAAGTAAAAACTGCATTTATTAATTGAAGTGTATTATCAATACATGTTGATTGCTAAAGTTGTAACTAATTTAATCTTGTTCCACAGCTGAGTTTTCTTGCAAAGTGGAGATCTTCGAACAAGGAGGCCTTGAGGCAATTGTGAAGCTTCTGTCATCTCCTGATTGTGATGTGCAGGTATATAGACAGAGGGAACCTATTTCAAAGATGCACCAACCATAGTGGTTGAATTCCATCCAATCACAGCTGAGCACAACAGCATAAAAAAATTATCTATTAATCGCTGATGTGTACTTAATCAGTCACATCACATGAAGAAGACTAGCAGTATGCAGTTGAAATGTCGCAACCACATCCAAAGTGACCACATCATGAGGCAATAGATTATACTTCCCTTTGGAAAGTGCTCTTTTGAATGGTGACAAACCACAACCTTTTTTACTATATTTTTATATGCATTGGTATTTCTTGTTTCTTTGCACCTCTTTCAATCCAGTAGCACATACAGGTTGTTCACTGTATGTATTGCAGTTCCACTCTATCTTACAACAGGTGTATTAAAGAGAGCATTAATCATTTTTTATTGAATGTCACAAAACCAAAGCCATGAGTTTAATTACATTTAGTACATGCTAATGAGGACTTATTTAATGATTTTATAGTTGTCTTATAATTTTGTTAGCATATATATCAAATTAAATGTTTTTTTTTCAATTTTTTTTTTTCACAGAAAAACTCTGTTGAGACTGTCTCATTATTAGTTCAGGATTATCACAGTAGATCAGCAGTAAAAGAACTAAATGGTAAATATATCACAGTGTTCCTTAAACCTTTTATGCCCCTAAACATCAGTGTGCATATTCTCCATACTGCTCTCTATACATTTACTAAGGTGCTGACAAGGAGAATTTGTCTCACAATAGAGAGCTTTGTTAGTTAGGGATCATTTCCTTTATTCTCCAGACCTTAAAGTTTGATCCAGGGGTGATTTGATAAGGAGAGATTAGATGTTAGCCACTCTTAGGGATCAAAGGATTAAATAATAATTTTCTGCACTCACAGTTTTCAGTGAAACCTTGATATTTGAGAAGCCTTGTACATAGTGAAGTAATTGCATACTAGATACTCATGTACACTTGCTCTGATGAAGGGCTAATGCTTGAAACGTCAGCTTTGAAACTCTTACAGAGGCCAAGTTATGTTACACTTGTTTGGTTTCTTCTCAGGGTTGCAGCCACTTTTGGCTCTGTTAGACTCAGAGTATGCCATCATCCAACAGCTTGCACTGGAGTGTTTGATTCAAATTACACTTGATGGTAATGACTTATGGCCATCTTATTCATGTAATAAAAGTTAGACAACAAGCATCAAATACAGATTTTATGGGTTATTTTTTTGAGCCATGCCTTAAAAAATATAAAGTTTCCCATCATACTCCTCCCAGAAGTGGGTTTGTCAATCAGTTGGCTATTCCTCCCTCCCCTCCCCTTCAAAAAAGCCTAACGCATACATTTTGGATATAATCATGTACATGAAAAAATTACACACTTCTGCTTGGTAGAAAATGAGTACATTCTCATGTAACTCTTATTACATAAGTAGATTTAATTAATGTCTATACAAAATAAAATTTCGATGTCGTGCTTTGATGTAAAACTGAGAGTTTATTTGATTTGGTTGTAAAATTTTGATGGTGAATCTGTATTTTTTTTTTCATTTTTACCTTAAAAATTGGATAATTGGGGTGATAGGAAATGATAGATACTATTGGGATGGCCTTATATAGCTGGGCAGGATGAAAAAATAATTACAATCTGATTGGCTACGGCAAAATGACCCATATCTTGTCCACTTTATATTGATCTGTAAATACCTAGCAACAGAGTTTAATTTAATCCTTTAATTCCCAGGTAATTCTCCTCACCGTCAACCATACACCTCTTACAATGCTTGTCTAGAGAATTTTGTATTGGATCAACTAATTATTCCCAAACTGATATTTTTCTTTATTCTCATCACTTATCTGGTTGATATTGTATTGGTATTGTAAGGAGAAATTCTGTTTTAGTCACTCGTGGGAGTTAAAGGGTTAACTTGATTGTAGAAATGTAGGAAGAGTACATGTACGTCAGATAATTGTCACGGCCTCTTAGCGTTACTCAACTATGGAAATCATACCTCATATTTTACAGCTGATAACAGAGGAGCTTTGCGAGATCTGGAAGGACTTGAAAAACTTGTTGATTTTGTTGGAAACAAGGTACGGTTTCTTGTAACTAGTGTGTTTTTACACCATCTTTCCACATCGTTTTTTATTGTGAATTAAGTTATTGCAGCAATGTTGTTTACTCCTGTCATTTTAATAGACTGATGCGTTTTCATTGCAGGAATACGAGGATTTACATGTGCAAGCATTGCAAGTGCTGTCAAATTGTCTTCAGGATGTAGACAGCATGCAGGTAACAAACTTTTCTTCCCTCAGAGTGTGCTTGTGTGCCTTAAAATTCTTTGAGTTGCCAATGGGAAATAGATTGTATCATTGCACACTTCATAATAAATTGTCATTAAAACAACGATTGACATACACCTGTACTGAAAATGTTTTTAAAGCGATAAGTTAATCCTTTTTTTTTTTTAGCTTATTCAGACGTCTGGAGGATTACAGAAACTTCTTGCTTTTGCCGCTGAATCTAATGTTCCTGAGGTGCAACAACATGCGGTAAGAAATTGCAAAACCGTATGGAGATAAATGCATGACTTTATCTGTTATCGTTCATTCGCACCTGATTACAGAGCTACCGTTCTCTCACTTGTATCTTTTGTATCCTTTTATCTTTCAGGCGAAAGCCATTGCCCTCGCTGCGAAAAATGGTAATCTAATCTAATCTATTTCTTGGTGCTTATAGCGACTAGAAACATGGTTCTGACTATCAAGCTGCCAAGTAGATGAAGTCATCTTCGGACCTGCGGGGATTCCCCTTAAGTGGCCCTGATGTTTAATGCGGGCCGCCCCGCTAGGAAACGGCCATGTGCATAGTCTTTGCTGGAGTGAATTCGGCTATGTGAAGCGTTTTGATCAATCTGCGTGGCCAAAAATCACTTATAGTAAAAATTACATTTTTACGTCTAAGTTTTTTTTGCGTATTTCGTGTTCATGATGAATATTTTTTGATGTTTTGTTGTAGGAGAAAATCGTAAAATCTTCCACGAGCAGGAATGTGAGAAGACGTTGATAATCCTTCTGTCCATAGAGGTAAGCTGAATTTCTTTATTTTTCAATTCTGGCCGTCAAGACGGCGAGTACTCACTGTAAAACTTTTCACATGTTACGGTTTTCGTTTGGGTCAGGTTTAGGTACGTGTGTTCTTAGAAACGCCTTCTGCATAAATCATCCCTACAAAAACTGCTATATTTAAAAAACTGCTTTTCTATATAAAGATAACCATAGCTGTCTTAGTAAGCACCAGGCGGAAACGCGACTTCGTAATCGCGTGCGCTACTCTGCAGCACTTGCGCCTTTTAAATCGGAGACTTGCCCTGCACGCCAAAATGGCAAGGAACGAACATTCTTTCCACAGAATGCTTGGTGTATACTGGCAATTAGCGGCACTTGTTTATATGTTATCATCAAAGAGAAAAATTAAATAATTTATAATGTATTTTCTTGCTTTCTACTGTTAATAATGCTTAAAAATAAATCAACGAATATAATTTAGCATATAGATAAATTAAACTCAGATCAATCGGCTGCGATCAATCTGTTTGCAATGATTATGTACTAACTTGTGCAGTAATAGGAATTTCAGATACAGATGTGTTTTTATGCGCGACCAGAAGGGAAATGCGACTACTTCAAGTGCGCTTTGACATCAACCAATCTCCTGGGAAGTCTTGCAAGGAGTCCCCTGAAAGTCACGTCAAGTGATGAACACCTCTTTTTAAAAAATGTATTTTATTACTAATGTCATTAATAAGTGCCACGTAAAACAACTCCCTACTTCTGACCTCCCTTCACACCTAAAAAATGTGTATGTTTAAACATCCTGATATCAATATTATGCTGCAATTTTTTTACCAGAGCCCTGGTGTCCAGGCCTCGGCATCCTTAGCCCTTGCAGTTATGTCTGAGAACCTTAGTAGCAGAGATGTGATTGGAAAACTTGGTAAGAACCAATAAAAAATGTTGATTTACTGCGCACAAATGGTAAGCGCGCTTGGCTCTGCATTGAGAGGTCTGGGTCCCAGCTCCCGCCGAATCATGATGTTGTGTTTTATGGCGGCAACTCTCTTTACTTTCTCAGTGCTTCTTTTCACCAAGAAGAATATATTAGTAAGGCGATTTTTCAGGGAAAGATGATACAATTTGTAAATGCAGCCCTTCTGCAAGGATCAGTGCTTTACATTTATAAAATTAGCAAATGAAAATGTAACTTATTTTGTCGCATATGGCAAATTGGACTCAATTGGAAATTTTGGTCCAGTAACTTGCGGCCTCAACCACACGTTGTTCTGAAAAACCTGAAAATTTCTTGTCTTTCCTTTTGCAGAAGGTATACCGTCATTAATTAATCTACTTACCAGTGACAGCCCGGACGTGAGAGAAGGAGCGACTCTGGCACTAGCAAATATCACCACTGCTAACAGTACAAACTGCGGGTAAGACAATATGTAGTTCAAATAAAACAAAACGTTCTGGTAAGTTACTACGTTATTCCCCATGGGTGACTGTTTACTACAGGTTGGACTGTAACCCATGCTTCATTATGCTTACGGTCCTTGAATTAATGAAAACCATGGTAAAACAGTAAATTACATTTGCGACTACACCTTGTTTTTAAAATAGAAAGGAATTACTTACAGCGCTTTTCGATAGAGTGTTGTGAAACCAAATAAAATTTACTACAACAGTCATTAAGAAGTAGGGAAGATGTCAATGAGAACTCAAAGATAAAACAACAAAATTGCCCAAAGCGCGGGAAAACGCGGGTGACTAAGTCGTGATCAGTCTTAGTTTTGCATCTGATTGAGAGTGGCGCTAAACGTGAAAATCTATCCGTTCAGTCTTCCTTAATATTGCCTATCCATGCTTTCCTAACCGCCACGTTACCTACAAGTACAATACAAATGTTTCCTCTCCGTTTTAAGTTCTTTGCTCTTGTAGTTCATTCGTGTCGGTGGCCAGATTTTGGCCTAATTTAGATTTAATTGATGTAAGATTTGTTTTGACGGAAATCTTGTCAAGTCTAGTTGCAAAGGGAATTTTCATGATCTTTTAACTCGCTCTCGTTGAGCACAGTACATGTCAAAGATCAACGGCCAACTTACACAAAACACACGCACTATTTTTGTGTTAACGTCATTCATTCGCTTTTAATGTGCTTTTTCCCTTTTTTTTTTTTTTGGTCCTATTGCTTTTCTTTTTCTTTTCATTGTTTTACGAAACACTTATTGTCATGCATAAAGCATAAATTTATGGGATTTCGTGCAATTATAGTGACGTGGTAGACAAGGGAGGAGTTGATCCGCTGATCACACTGCTCAATGACGTTAAGCCTTCGGTTCAGGCTAATGCAGCTGTTTGCCTCACCAACCTGGCAACAGAAGGTAAAACCAATGTTATACCTTTCTATTGTAGAGAACATATAAACAACTAGTTTTGATTTCATGGCAAAATGATTTGTTTGTCTTCGTTAGTCATCGTTAGATAATCCCTCGTTTATCGCTAAAAGACGTGAAACTGTGCAACACATCTGGCAATAAAACATCATAAACTTGCTTTATTTTCAAACTGTCGAATTTAATTTTAAAGTCCAGTGTGAATTAGCGGCGTAGGCACTTTCTTCCCCTCACCCCTCACACTTGACATCTGGTTACTTTCTGCCGCGCTTCCTTGTAGCATCCATTCCATGCTTTCCCACGATTTGCGACGTTGTGTGTTTTTGACAACTTAGTGTGCGTCACACCTGTTTCCATGACCTGGACCTGTTCCTTATAGGAAGTTTTTCCGCGCCTAGTGCGAGCTCTTTGAGCTTGCTTTAAACTTAGGCTGTTATTTTTTTTACTAGGTTTAGTTATCTCTATATACTTGAGTTTCAGGTTTTTTTTTTTGGCGATCCATGCTTTTTCTGCTTGTTTGGTAATTTTTATTCTGGTTCTTTATTTCAGAGTCGTGGAGATCAGAGGTGCAGCAAAGAGGTGTAGTGCCTGCCCTTGTACAAGCTTTACAATCCAAGTAAGAAATTTATAATTTGACTCGTTCCTTTATTAAAGGTTGATAACAAGATACCAGGCCGACTTAAGTATCGGTGCAAACACATCCCAGGGCTTTTTGCTCTGTAATTAATTTATTGATACCAACAGAAATTGTCATACTGGTGCGAATCATACCGGCCCGAGTTCACCAGCAGTTGGCTTGCCGTACCAGAGCGAGTGTCATTCTGTTAAGAAATATTGCAACGGTATCGATTTAACGAGGAAAAACCTCGTTTTGGTGGGAAACTTCCCCCACCTGTTAGGGGACCGGAACTAGTCGTGCATGCGCAGTTGTGTCAAACAAAGATTGTATCGTCACGGTAGAAGAGGAGTATAAGTATAAAACAGACGTAGTTGTAAAGACAATATGAAATCAAGTAGTCATTACGGTACTGGGCATGCGCCAGGAAGGCATCAGGTGACATCACGAACCATAGCTCCGAAGTGAATACCATTCTTGCCCGTAGTTTTCTCTGTTGAGAAAAGTCTGCCACGTGTAGAAAGCTCAGTGCATGTTTTTTTTTCTTTTAGTGCGGCAATAGTGCAGAGTAAAGCTGGAATAGCAGTGGCAGCCTTTGTGTGTGACGCAGACTCAAGAAACGAGGTAAAAGATATAAAGTTTCACAACTTAATGAAGTTAATACGTCCCAACAAATGATCCAAGTCACATTTGAAGGGATTTTTTATGACATCGCACAGAGACATAAAACGCCGCTCCCCCAGCATTTAATGATTATAAGTAGTCGTTAATCAACAACAGGTAACTTGTTTTAAGGAATGGGTCTGGGAAAACTCAGGGACAAATGGGAAATTAAAGTCGACTTTTCCAACATCTGCAAAACTGCACACCTCGGAGAATCTTTAGGTGCCCAAAGATTCTCGCCTCAAAAATCTTGTTTGCCCAGCTCTTAAAAGCGTTCATACAAGTAACGTATACAAGTCGCCTAAAGACAAAATACGGTCGCCAGTAGCACTCGGGCTCTGATACAGCACAACCCTGATATGTTTTGATTGATGTGTGAAAGAAAAGCTGCATAATGATTACTGAGAACTGGGAGCCAAAGTGTTAGAGGAGCCACGCCATAAATATTTAGCGTCAGGTGGCATTGCGTTGTGTACTACTGTTTTGATGGAGTGGAAAAACATCAACAACGCGAGAATTAGCTGAAAACGGACGGGAATGTCTCAGGATGGGGAAGATTGTTACAGATTGCAAATTTCAGACTTGAACAATTTAGGGCTTTAGCCACATTAGAGTTTAGGGGGGGGTAAAATACTCTACATGTAACACCTTTTACAGCTCCTTTAATCACACGGTCATTTGATTCTTCAATAGTTTCGTGCCGAAGGCGGCCTTCCTCGGTTGGTAGAGCTGCTACGGTCAGGCAATGACGACGTACGGCGGAGCGTGGCCTGGGCCGTGTTACAGTGCGGCAATGACCTGCCAACTGCGACTGAGATTTGCAGACTGGGGTGAGTTCATAATGAAAGAAGCGTAGATACTGTGGTCTTTGATTTCATTGTTTTCCGTTTGTTTTATCCAAATATGCTTTTTATTTATTTATTCCGACGCATCTCTGTGACCAAAATCCTCACAAAAACTACCATTAAAATGAATTTCTCTTATCTACTTGTGCTAAGAGCCGAACTTGATTGTGTTTTACAGGGGATTGGATATTCTAGGAGAGATTTCTCTATCAAACACCCGTCAGTCCGGCTTCGCTAAGGCTGCCATGGATTGTTTACTGGATAGTAACCTACCGGCCAAGTACGCCATGACTGGCACACTGGGACCTAATAACATCATTCAAGATGGATTTTATGACTGTGGACCGGTAAGGAATCTTTTTAAGATGTTCGTCAGATCGTTTGTATGTCGGACCGCTTGACCGTCTGTTTCACTGTTTCACGGCAGTCAGTAAGTCAGGTAGTTTATCCAATCATGCAGGCAGTCAGTCAGTTAGTCAGTGAGTAAGTTGGTCATTGAGTTAGTCGGTCAGTCAGCCAGTTGGCCAATCAACCAGTCAATCAGCCAGTCGGTCGGTCGGAAATTTCCCGTGAATTAAGGCTCAGATAACAAGCAAATGACTACTTACAATTTCAGATGCAAACATGGTAAATTAGAACGGAAAGAATCTGTATCTGTGCGATGCGATGACTTGTTTCTATTGACTACTAACGACAAGTTTGAATACCTACGTGGAGAATTACTTACCAAAAACCACGCATCACGTTACAAAAGTTTAAAAGTCACTCGTCAGCAATTGATGCGACGTCATAATCAGTTAAGAGTGGCTTGAAACTTGCTCGTGCAGATGCAGTGCAGCACGCGCAAGCACATTAGATTCTAAACAGATACCTGCTTTTGATAGTTTTTCTTTCTTTTCTGGCTAGCTATTTTAACTAAGAGAAAATAAAAAAAAAGAAAAAAGAAAGAATAGATGAATACTGAGATATATGCATGAAAAAGGAAAAGGCAACATTATTGAAAGGGAGATCCAAACAGAAAGAAACTATGAATGACTACTTTTTGACTTAAGCTTCGAAAAGCTCGACCTTTTTTGTTGTAAAATCATTTTCAAAAAAGAAAATAGATTCAGTGGAGTGCGACGAAAAAAGGTTAGACATCTATCACGAAGTCGATGTACCCTTCATTTAAGAACTCATATGAGAATCCTAACTCGATTTTTTTTATAACTTCCTTCTTATTCGATAAAAAGCGTTTATCTGAATACAACATCATGACTGCAAGAAAAGTCCCCAAACTCTGATAGTCCTGACGCAATAGCAAAGCAACAAGTTCGCCTTGAAAAATCTTAAAACTAATTAAGTAAGGGAAAATCGAAACACGACTCCAAGCGTCCGCGTCAACTTCAAACTGAATCAAGTTAAAGATGAATTTAAGGTTATTTGATCGTGATTGGTTGGAGATATGAAATCACGCGCGTCGCACGTGATTCCCAAACACCACGAAGGGAAGGTCGGTGAAAACTACAAGTTCAAAATGTTACTAATAAAAACCCTACAGAGTTCTTAAGCTGTGGAGCTAGAGCCGGTGTGCCATCCTATGAACAATTCCGCTTGCTTCATAGGCTAGCACACTTATTTACAGAGCGTAATACGTGTTCGGTTTCTGTCTTGTACAGATGCGTCCTGACAGCAAGTTCCTAACTCTGGAGGAACTTAGTTCGTTGCCAACAGACGCACATAGGCCCATTCTTCTTGTTAACTCCAAGAACGCGGACAGGTAAGGTTGAGAAGGGTTGGAAAGAATTTTTAATTGGCGCTAATGGATGTAAAGCTTTGTTCACAAAGCATCATTGTGTGTAGTTCGGCCAGGATTTGGAGCAGTTTAATTGAGTTTCTTCAAACCAAAAGCAGGGTGACCACAATGGCCAGTTAGAACAAAGGTTAAGATGACAAGCAACCGATGAATTCTTGGAGTATACAGGAAGGTGACCGATAGCGTAGAAAACATATTTTCTCCACGCTCGTCACAAAACTAAGAACGTCTTCTTTTATTAATTTTCATCCAGGAAAACTCCTTCGCCCATCCTTCTAATACCCAAGGAGCCGGAGAAGAGCTTGGAAAAATTGGGAAAAGGAAGCAAATCTAACAAAGACTTGAGAAGGTAGAAATCTTTTGGCTGTGATTTCACATCGAGATGTACCCATACAAATACCGTTCTATTTGAAGTAATTATAGTAAGTTAATGAATGATAATAATATATATATATATATCTCCAAAACTAAGAAAAAGTAAATATTGAACTATTTACAAAGTGTGACTGAAAAGTTAACAATCCTAAAACCTTGTAACTGTGTATCATGTCTATTTACAAGTATGCGATAGTCATGAGCTACAACACCTGCAGCTTCTTCTGTCAGGGGTTTTCAATGTGACTTGAAGCAAGGACGATCCTTTATAATCATTTATGCGTCGATTATTGTAAAGCTTCAACAACCCCTCTTCCCCTCACCGGCACTTTCCCCCTCCTTGTATTCCGCTGGAAAGACTTGACACTTCTAATTCAAATTCCCCACTCCCGCTAGGCAATGCTCAAATTCCCCACCTCCCCATGCACGGACGACAGTCAAATGCCCTTGGGTTGCCCCGCGGGGGGAACGGGGGGAATATTGTACCTTGTGACTTAACGATGTCCTGATTGAATGCCACTCGGTATCATAGAAGTTTTAAATAAAGAGTGACAAACCTTTTGCGACCGTTTACTACGGAGATTTTTCTCCATAATGTTTTTGTAACAAGACCACAAGTTTATTTTTCTATTTCGATGAAGCAAAAGTAAAATCATGCGCGAACGAGAAGAACAGAAACAAAGGGAAGAAGAGGCCGCTTCATCGGAGGTCTCAACCACGCAACAAGATGAAGCGCCTAACTGGCAGCCACCCATGGATGAGGTATTTCAGGGGTACATTGAGGAGGTTCGAAACACTATTCAGCCGTTGAACACGACCACAGAACAAGTAGAAGCTCTTGCAAGGTAAACAGCTCGTACCTCTTGTCATGTATCTATGTTAATCTTCTCTATCCTTTAACATATTTTTCTTTCTAGGTTCATTATTGCCTCTTTTGTGTTTCTCTATTTTACAGAAACAGTATTTTTAGTTTCCTTTACGTTAAAATTAACTCCGCGCTGCCTCAATAAGAAGAAAAAAACGAAAATTGAACTTTCGCGCCTTCAAGCCTGTCACTTAGAAGTCCCATTTGTTACCAGTCCCTAACAACTGTTTTTTCGTCTATCGTGTTTAAAATCGAATTGCTGATAGTTTTGGAATTCAGACACTGAATATATAAGGAAACAAATGGACTGGTTTCTGAGTCAACACCTACTCTAATATTCCTTTGATAAAGATTTTGAATATGTCTTCATTTCTGAAGAGATCGGGACATTCCAGAAACAGGCCAATGGCTTTTTCAACTCACCAATGTGTAGCAAAGTGGCAAAGGCATCTCAGCAGAATGTCTGCTTAACGTTTTTTTCCTTCTTTGCAGTTTTGTCAGTAATAAGATGGGGGGATCGGTCGACAGAGAATCCCTCTCCACCTTCAGCTATGAGCTGCCAATCGGTCAACTGAAGGTGGAGCTCAACTCCAACATTATTCCCATCGGCAAGATACAGACTGGAATATATTATCACAGAGCTTTGCTTTTTAAGGTAATTTTGGCCCATAAATCAGTCAATATTCCCGACAAAAAGAATATCATACATCATTCGATGAACTGTTTCTCTCTTTTCATTGGTCGAGAGTCCGCTACGTGACCTCAGAAAACTCAGCAGTTTTAATAGTTTGCTTATGCGTAGTGCCGTTTATGCTGCGCTCGTGAAGTTTGTGTCCAGGCTCCATTTTAAAAATTGACGCCCGGCTTTTCTAAGCTGTTAGATGGTGATTACTGACACTTACGAGATCTGCGCGATACTGAAAAATCATGAAATTCTGCGATGGTTGAGGGTTCTTCTGCGGCCAAACTGTAATAGTGAGAAGCGACGTTAAGCTTTTATATGGAACCCTGGCGTTGAAAGGAAAGCTTTTGTTCTCTTGCATTCTGAGACTTGTGTAGTCTGTTGTGATGTATTTCGGTTTGTTTAATTAATAGTACTTCTCTCTCCAGGCTCTTGCTGATCGCATTGCTTTGAGCTGTTCTTTGGTCCGAGGAGATTATAACAGGGCCTGGAACGAGGTGATGCTCTGTGACGAGGTGAAGGTGAGAAAACTAACGCTATTGGTTGAAGTGAAATGCAAGGAAAGGATATGTATACTGAAACAACAACTGTGATAATTAACTGAAAGACTTAAGTGACGGCTTTCCGGTGATAGTGCACGCCGTTCAATTGAGTGTGTAAGGCCGGGTTAAAAATAATGAGAACGATCAGTCATGACAACGGGAAATATCAAAGAGCAGGACAATGAGAACTCAGTGCAAAGGCGAGAACACTGTGGTTGCCAAGTCACGCTCGTTTTAATCTTGCATCAGATTGGTTAAAATGATAGCAGGAGATTTTAGACCAATCATGGAGCACTATGGAGCAAATCTTCTTGAGTCTCGGATAGCGCTCGAATCTCAATTGAAAGTTACCCTATCGCTTAAACGGGATTCGGTCTTGTTATGGAAGATTTCATTTTCAAGTGCAGGACGTAAAATTGCGCCTAATACAGGCGCCAATGCGATTAAATTTTTTTCTTTGGCGACCAAATCCTGAAAATTAGTCGCCAAATTGGCGACTAGAATGCTTCATCATAACCGTACCTAGAGATATAGTGAGTTACAAAGATTTGCAAAGATAAATCCGGGGCAAACTTCCTCGTTAAGTTTGTTTCCAAAACGCAGCACGTACATCTCGATCGATGACTATACGCCATCTTGGATTAAGTTGAGCTTGAATGTTGTATATCATCCATCCTAGTGTCCACTTTGTGGCAAGTGAAAGATCTTTTTCCTAACTTAATTTTGGAGGGCCTATCTAGAACGCTGACAGCGGAAAAAAAGGGTTTTGTTAGTCTTTAAAGATGGCGACCAACTTTTTTCGAATTGGCTACCACTTTGAAAAATTTAGGAACCAAGTGGCTATCAGAAAAATAAAAATTAATTGCACGCCCTGTACTCCTATTCCTTTTTTTTTTCCTTTGTTATTTAGGATGGTCAACCTAAGTTCCCTCCAAAGAGTTACATCGTCGATCTTATGCACATCCCTGGACGACTAATGAGTACTGACTCGCCCGAGGCCACTCTCTACCAAAGGCTTTAGCTTCAGAATCAAGTTCAGTCAAAACTGAAGAGGACTTCATAAAGAAGTTTTGAAATGACTTACGACATTGCAAAGCTCTTCACACTCTCAACAACACTTGAGGAAATCGCCTTGTAGATCAGGGAATTGATGAAATGGTTTCCGTCAGTGAAGTACCGTCACGAAATTCCACCTCTAAGTCTTTTCTGCTGTTTTTGTTAATTTGTATCGATGGATTTATACAAAGTGTATGTTGCTAAGTTTTGTGTAAAGCTGAGAAGCTCGTAGTGCTTTTTAGAGGTTTGTTCTTATTTTGTCAGTATTTATGGAAACTGGAAGTGTTCTCGTTGTAAATAGTGTATCATAAAAACTTCATATTTGCATTCATCTCTGAACGATTGTTTTAATGCTAAAAAAATTATATTTAGAGTGGATTTTACAAAACACTGTTAGAGCTTTGGTGGGAAGGAAAGAAGCTGCAGAGAGTGCCACGCTTAGCAGAAGGCAGCATGACTCCTGACCTGTAGAATTTAGTCTTTTTATTCCCTGCTATTTGCATCAGTTCTACCGGCAGTGCATTAACTTTTCTTGCTTCCCTTCTATTTGGCCACTGTCTGACTGACACTTACTCTGTCTCTAACCGAATCTGATTGGCTCCTGCCCTGATTCTCTGTGGTTCGTTCTAATTATAGGTTTTACTACAGTATCGGTAGACATGAGTGGGCATGCAGGCCAACTATAACCTTGGAAGATTAAACAGGTGTTATCAGAGAAAAAAACCCAAATACTTTCAAAATGACAAAAAAACCAGCTCGTCTTGTACTTACGTTTTGAAAGACCAGTAGATTTGTACGAAAAGAAATTAACTACTCACTCTCACCTTCTTTGATTAATGGTTGATTCGGGGGCCCTACATCAACTATCGCGCGATAGAAATCTCTAGCTCATTATTTAATTATTTTATTTAAAACCGCGCTTTGTCCTAAATTTGACCTCCTTCCTTCCACTAATGTAGCGCTTTGTTTTTGTGCTTTTTCTCGGCATTGCAAGGTGAGAACATGGAAACGAGTTAATTAAAATACGGTAATTGTGGAAATTTTGTTACTGCAGCCTCTTATCAATTTTGCCACGACGTTTTACAAGTTTACATCATCAGACTTAACAACAACTTACAGTTTATCTGTTCTGTGTTTTCGGACAATTCGCTGTCAATTCTCAAAATGATACGAGAAATATTATAAGTGAATCAAACCTGATAATTTTATCAGCTTATTGTTGTGAAAAGTGGCACACTGCAGTTCCTTTATCTAAGAAAATGGCGCAGTTTCATGTGTATTGTGTAATGGGTAATCTGCAAAAGCTTCATCAGCGTGAACCGAACATCAGTATACATGTTTCCCATACATTTCCTTTGGTGCTGACAAGGAGAAATTATTTGAAAATGAAAAGCATCTTACAAGGATGATCACTTCCTATGTGACCATAGTCACTATGAAGAGTTGAAAGGTTAATCAGGTTACGTAATTGCGCACGCTTTCCTTTGAAGTCGGGGTAATAATAGGAAACTTAAGCAGCGAGCAGATGGTTCTGTAAACAGGATCATAAAGTACTGATGAGAAATTATTAAGTTGAAACTCTTGAAGGCAAATGCTCTCTGAAAGTGGATACCATTGAATAGTAACGTCACTTATCAGTTTGTGGTTGCATGATAGGAAATATATAATTTTTCAGACGGCTGGGAGTTTAATTAGTTTATGGTTGTTAGCAGTGCCAAGTACGTTTCTTCTTTCGAGAACACTAAAAGGGTCATGCATGTTATGTAATGAGTGTTATGTAATATGTTTACGGGCCTTTTAACTAGGGTATGTTACTGTTCCTTCAGAGTCAGGAAAAAACGGGAATCAAAATCACGCAGTAGATACTTTTTGTATTTTTGCTTTTGGGGAGTAGACATTGCAGAAACTATCTGTAAACAAGATAAAAATTGAACATCTTGTGCTCGAAGGTTCAAAATTATTGCAGGAGAGCGCCCTCTAAAAGCTTAGAGCGAAGCAAGTTTGCGGGAAATTGTGTTAGTGATGCATTCAGCACAAACAATGGATTTTTGAAAACAGGATACTGTTCCAATTCGAAATTATGCAGTTGAAGCTATTGAAGCTTTATAAAGAACCGTCACGTATCTGTTCGCAGTTGCACGAGATGAAATATATACCTTTTCAGACGGCTAAAGTTTTATTGGCCCAACGTTGTTAAAAGTGGCACTGAAATGTGTTTTTCCGGTCGAGAGCGCTTAAAGACATATTATGTAATAAGTCTTATGTAACATTTTTATAGGCATTTTAACCTCGGTATGTTACTTTTTATATCAGAGTCAGGAAAATAACAGGAAACATTAGCACCTAGTTGATGTGTTTTTTTCTTTTAGAGTAAATATAGCAAAAGCAATGTAATTGTAAACAGGATAGCAACTAAAAGATCGTACTCTCAAAGCTCTCCCAAGCGAACGCTTTCTGAATGCAGATACGGCGAGCGAAGAAATCTTACGGGAGCTACAGATCTTTTGTAAGTGTGAATTTTTTGTGTTTGCAGTAAGACACTTTTATGGCTCAAGATCATTGAAAGTTCCGCTGGGAACTAATTTTTGCCTATCCAGTACAATACATTTCTTTCTCCGTTTGATGCTTTTGTTTTCGTTTGACATAGATTGCCTTAGTAACAAATTTCATTAAAAGCGGATGTTTTTTGTCCATGTGAATTGAAAGTGGTAAATTTTTGAGGCACTCTATTTTGCTGTTTTATTTTTTTCTGTGCGAAATTATCGTAGCTGATCAAGGATAATCCGCAAAATTCACGAAAAAATTAGACTCTGTGAGATTTTCTTGGTACAAGATACGGATTCTGAAAACCATTTTAAACTGGACTCGTAATGCTCCATGCACCATGTATTTATGTAGGCGCTCGTAAGTTTTTCTCGATGATTCTGCTTGTAAAACGTTTACAAGCGGATGCTTCCAGGATATTTTAGGGTAAAATGTGCGTCCAATATTTGAGTGTTTTTGACCACGCGGGAAGTGAAAGTGCTGGATATTGGCCAAGAACGGGTCAATATGCAGAACAAACTTTACGCCAGAAAACTGTTAGATAGATACTGCTTGTATTTTACTTTTTTTTTTTGGTTGCGATTTTATTGCAATTCCAATGTGATAGCTATAACCCAGTTTAGACAATACCTGCTCGGGTCACCAACAAGAACACAGAATTCGATTCATATCACCTGCTTCCGAAGTTAGCCGTGTTATAAATAATTTTGTTAGGGGATATGAATGCTCATAAACCTTGCCCTGATATTACGCTAATTATTAACGGTTTTCTTTTGTTTTTGCTGAATCATTTATTACGCGGCACCGAGACTTCGCGTTCAGTCTCTAAATTTTTACGATAGGGCAACATTGTCGTTTTCACTTACTGAAGAGATGACAAACTTTACTGAACAAAGGCAGCCCACAACAACGCAGGATTTTTGTGAAGCTGATGAACTCGAAGAATTTCATTACATAGTTCTTGCGTCAGTCAACATTTTCCTTTCCGTCGCTGCAACTTTAGGGAATGTCCTGATCCTCTTCGCTCTTCACAAGGAGTCTTCGCTGCATCCGCCGTCCAAGCTCTTGCTTCGTTGCCTTGCAATTACAGATCTTTGCGTTGGTTTGATATCTCACCCGATGTTTGCCGCACAGTTGCTATTCAAGATGTACGAAGTGCGAAATTTGTGCTCGCCCTTTAATATCTGGGAAAGTCTCCTCAGTGTAATTTTCGGTGGAGTGTCTTTGTTGACAGTAACAGCTGTGAGTGTGGACAGACTCCTTGCGCTGAAACTGGGCCTGCGATACAGACACACTGTAACAATAACACGAGTTGGTTCAATTTTAACCTGCTTCTGCGTTGTGGCTATTGCAGTCGCTTTCGCAGAACGTTTTTGGAATTTCGAAATTTTCACCAACGTGAAGACTGGAGTAATAGGGCTGTGTTTAACAACTTCATTTTTTTGTTACGCGAACATCTTCATTCGTCTGCACCGTCACCAAGTGCAAATGACAGCCAACTCCTGGCAGCCAAACGGGGAAGGAACTCCTTTGAACATTGTTCGATACCGTAAGACAGTTTCTGCAGCACTCTGGATCCAAATAACATTAGTTGCATGTTATCTCCCGAGAGCTTTCACTTACACTTTTAGATCGGCAGCTTTTGCTGGGGAGCTGTACACAGGCACACTTGTGCTCTTCAATTCCAGTCTCAACCCGTTTCTTTACTGTTGGAAGATCAGAGAAGTGAGACAAGCAGTGAAAGACACTGTCAAACGATGTTGCTCGTCCAGTTAGACAAAGTATTATTCGGGTGTGTACCAAAATGGCTGTATATTAAAGCTAATTAAGGGACGGGGAGGGCGGGTGTGTAGAAGTTTTGGGGTTCACATGGTTTCGTGTGGTTTTATATCGAAACAGTCGCCAAGCATATATTCTTTAGGGATTCGATGCTTCTATTTTTTCTTTTACTAAATTGCGTTTCCTTATAATCGGATTAACAATTATTCCTAAACTCCTCTTGGGGTATGAAATTCTGGATTCAGAAGACTTTTTTGTAACGCAACCTCAGATTCAAATATTTTTAAATAGCCGATCGTTGTGTCGCACCAATGCGACAAAATGCGTTCAACTTTTCCTTTTTCAGCACCGATTTTATTAGAAATTTTTGGCAACTCTGTACTTTCCGAGAATAACCAAAGAGAATCAGTGACGATTGTATCAAGTTAGTTACTTTAGATCTGATAGAAATACTGACCGGGTCAGTACAGTGAACGAGGAAGGTCTTTGACGAATAGGTTGAGGATGTACTTTAAAAAAATTGTACATGGTGAAAACTCATGGGAAACATTTTAGTTAATTTAAAATCAGATAGAAGAATAAATATTTCGGAAACCACTTCTTACCTACATATCTCGAGTTCAGTTACCTAAAATAGCAAGGATTTATTTCTTACGACTGGTTACGACGTTTTAAACCTTGTTAAGTAGTCTCTCCGATATACGAATAAGACCTTGCGCTGTTTATCAAAATAAATATATTTACACATTACCAGGTATGAGATACAAGTTGATAAGTACACACTGCTGTTCCGTTGAAACTGTAGACAAAAACTGTACAAACTTGTGTTTTACTTTTTAGACAGTTTAGCTGAATAAATATATGAGTATTTTTTGGCAACGAACTATTTCCGCTTAAGTAACGAGTGATAACGCCATCCATTTGATCACGTAAGATCACGCTGCGTTATTCATGTCTGACAACAAAGATGGCATACCGCTGTCATCTTCGTGTTGACCGACGCAAGGTGTCCAGCTCCATCGCTAAGCCTTCCATCTGCCGTGAAGTAGATTCCTGTGGCGTTAGAAACAATAAGAACAGATGAGAGAAATAACGGGTGACTCAGTAAGTGAAGTGTAGATTGTTTGAGAGTAAAAGACATGGCAACACCTTCGGTAAGGCTCGACAACTCCTCTTCTTACGCCAGAATTAGTTTTTATTTATCACCGGCTTACATTGCTTTTGCATGTTCTTTCACTTCACAACCCCGTTCCTACTCCAGTGTGTGAATCGTTCTTACCTTAAGTCTTTCTAACTTTTGTGTCGTCATTAGGTTATAGTCCCTCTCGGCCTGTAAAGCATGTTTCATTCCTTTTGTTTCCCAGTGATTTTCAGCCACGTCACTGGCCAGTTTGCTGATGGTCATTCGGCTCGCCTGCGGAGAGAAACACCGATCAGCTAATGCAGCAACAGGTGTCTTGAAGTCAAGCTCACTTGGGCCTTCTTCCAATTGTTAGAGCTTAACATTTCCTTCCGTTAATGTTACATGACAGTTATAAGAAGTGACAAAACTGAGTCTCACTGAACTGGCGTTTTGCTATCAAGCAAGGCCAGTCAATTTCCACGCTTCTGCGCACAGCACTCGCAGACTGCGCTGCAGCTTGAGGTACCAAATATCTCAGAACATAGCGCAAAATCATAACAACCCTTCCTTCCTTTCTTACTCTCATAAGTTCCTTGGCTTTTTCCGTGGCTTCGTCAACTTTTCTTTTTTCCTCATCCCTTTTCTTAAAGTTTTCTTTGTTTTCTTTTTCGAGCGCCTCCTGTACTTTTCTGCGAAAGAAAAAGAAACGTATCAAATGGTAAGACACTTTGCAGAAGATTCAGACTTCTGCGTTGATTTTTTCTCTCTGATTGCTCTAAAGAATCTCGTGCCACCGTCTGAACCAGTCAGATGTAAAAGTTACGCGAATTGTACCTTTAATCAATCGCCCTTCCCTCGCGTCCGGCAATTTCTGTGTTTTTTCTTACGAGTTCTCATTGGCTTCTTTGTTCTGATTTGTAATTGTGATTTATTAGGTTTTCCCTTGAAGAAGCATAATGAGTCAATTTTTTTGTTTTTATAAAGCATAATAAGTCAATGTCATACGACGAGCCGCTCACTACGGCTGGCATGAAATCCTTATATCGTCAGCGCTTAAATCAGGCGCTAATACTTCTTTTTAAATGCTTAAAGGGTATGGAACCTTCTTATCTTGGAAACCTTTTTAAATACAGGCATACACCGTATGGGCTTAGAGGTGAGGCTTGTCTTTGGAATTTCCTAATTTTAACTTTAAAGTTAAAAAGGCATTTTTTTCTCTTACTTGTTCACTAAGTTATGGAACAATTTGCCTTCTCAAGTACGTCTTTCAAGGGATGTCAATAACTTCAAAAGTAAATTGCAAGATTGCGGCTCTTTAGAACGTGTCTTAGTCTTCTGGTCACGTTCTTAGCTATCTTACAGCTATTTTTTAGTTTAGGATTTAGCTTTTTACGTTCTATGTGTTTATTGCTAGTTTATATATATTTAATGAGTTGTTTTAAGATGGAATAGTGTACTATAGATCTTATTTATACAAGTTCGTATTTTGAACGAGTTCTTAGCTCCTCGACGAAACGTGTTAAAACAAATGATTGATTGATTGAAGACACTCAATCTAAATGCGCTCAAACTTTTCCTCCCGTTTTAGGGAGGGTACTGGAGCGCATTTTTCTTGTATATTTTACGACGGTAGAAGGTCACGGTAAACTGTGCACGAAACGACGCAGCGAGTTTGTAGCCTTGGTAAAATAGATAGATCCATTTAATTTTATTTGTACATCTGATAGCCGTACCTTGATCGTACTAATTCAGCCTGTAGGCTTCCAAATTTTGATTTGAACCATTCTTGAGCTTCGCGCAAATTTTCAGAAACCTAAAAAACAAGACATTGAATAACAGAAAATATCATTAAGAGGGCGCTCTTACTTTGAACAACCCATAGGGAGTTTCTGTAAAGAACAACAGAAACATCACCAGCAGCTACCTACAACATAACACTAACGAGTTAAAGAAGAAACGTTTGCTTAAGGGACTGATTCACAGGGTTGCCTGAACTTAGTCATGTTTCTGTAGCATGAAGGAACGAATAGTATGGATGCTTCTCCTGAGTGGGTTCGAGTCCAGTGAAAGTTACCCCTCTCTCCCTTCCTCTTCACCAACCCCTTAGCATTTCCAGGGGGATTTCCCCGACAATTCACCAGTTCTTATTCATACTCTTAGTGAAGAGTTACATTGCAGAGTAATGTGTCTTGCCCGAGACTACAGCACAATGATCCGGCCTGATTTCGAACCCAGACCTCCTGATCAAAATCCAGCGCCCTGCCAATTTGACAGTGGATCTTCCACAAAAAGAGGGTTGGTAGACTTTCCGTTATAGAAACCGTAAATGGTACATATAGCGCTAAGGATGAAACACATACACAGTGCACAAGCCATTTCTCTTCTTCACTCCACAAAGTAACTACAGAAAATTTGATCAGTGGAGGGACAAACATACCTGTTTTGTTTCAAAATTGGCCTCTGCAAGTTTCCTTTCTGTATCTTTTCTGGATGTTTCCAAATCCTTTTCTCGTGCTTGAAGTTTCTATAGTATGATCAACGCAACAAACTCAAATGAAACATGTCTAGAAATCAAATCCCTGTCGGCAAACTCTAATCCTCAAAAGCACACCCAAAACGATCAAACAAAAGACCAGGTTTTGACGGGATTCGACCCTTGACTTCCACTAGAAACTAGTTGGAGGCTATTAACTTCTGAACAAGGAAGCCACCTATCAAGCGAACGGGGCAAATTTTAGAAGCCTTCTTGTTATTTGTTTGGAAGTAAACCACATTTTGACTGAAGGGTGATAATAACCTCACTAGTAAACTACAAATTGAAGAAATTGCAGTCAAGAAAACTTAAAAAAGTAACGCTCATGTTCAGTTGCATCTGGGTCAATCAGAGCGAGCAATGTATCTCAGAGAGGCACTTGAAGTTTGTGATCTTAAAAGAGAAATTTACTCGAATTAATTTTTTCCATTACTCACCTTATAGCGTTGTTCCAGCTCTTTTCTTCGGCTCTTTTCTTGCTCAAGTTCTTCATCCTTTTCTCTGTCAAAGATAACAAACACTTGGTTACCACAATATTTTGTGCAGTTTTCAATTGAGTATCGGGAACGCTTGAGCTTTGATTAACTTCTTCGCTTTGTGATTAGTCTAGAAAACTCACGCTACATTCTCAACCAATCAGATTCAGTGACCAATTCAGTGACCAATCAGATTCAGTGACTTGTTGTAGCATTGGCCGTTGTGCCTACCTTAGGTTTGGTTCATCAACACGCAACCAAAATGCACTAAAAATGAATTGAAGTTTTTCGGGCCTAACTTGATCTGATTTTCTTTTCACTTACCTTTGTGCTTGGATCAATGTATCTAGCTCTGTCTGTAGATCAGCAAACTTTGAGACAAACTCTCCGATTGTTTTGGCCTACGACAACAAAATTAAAGAGATCGAATCAGATACTAAAAAAACAGCCAACAATATAGTGTAGTTAGCATGAAACTGTTAGTTCCGATGTGATGTTAGATTTGTCTCCCATAGCCGACATTTCAGTCGGAGAACTCTCTTTTACTCGCGCTTACGAGACTTTCACGAAAATTTAGCGAAAACCTTACTGGTTTTTCCGACGAAACAAGTGTGAACTTTCGGTGCAGTTTAAGTTAATTCACTGCTAACAAATAAAAAAGGCCACTTTGCTTTATCACAAAACACAACTCAAAGAACCTATACGGGCATAAGTAACCACTCAAACCAAACTGAAGCACATGTGTGGCCTTATCTAGCAGCAAACTCTCAAACTATTATTTGGCAATGTTTGTTATTCTGATAGGACGATCTGTTTAACATATATGAGACTTGCATACCTGTTCACTGTTCTTACGCATGTATTC